TGAAGTGACAGAAATGGCTTTACATGACAGGCCTCCACCAATTGAAGGGGTGCCAACACAGGAGGAGCCACAGAGAAGGGTTGCGCCCTTCGCGCCTGAAGGAGGGATTTTCAATGATGATGATGCAACAGAAAATCCCCATTTGCCTCCCGACAGGGTTTTCTCAGAACCCTCATCAGCTTCAGCTCCAATGGAAGTCCCACAGACACCTGATGTTTTTGCAACACTTCCTGCAACGCCTCGTGGAATCCCAACAACTCGAATGCATGATGATCAACCTGGAGAAGAAGATCATGAATCAAAGCGTGCTCGACTGGAAAGTTCCAAGAAACAGCGTGTGGATCGACTATCTGCAGATTATGCTTCAATGATCAGAGCAGTGAAATCTCAACAGAGACCTTTCATACGATGGATGAATATGAACCAGACTTACAATTGGATGACCATCTTGAGCAAGACGTTTGGGAAGGTGAAGGTGAGGTTACAGGCGATGATGTACCCTCAGATCTGTGGTCGTCTTGTGGCCCAGACCAACATCCTGAGGAGCCTGCAGAGTGGATTGACAGGCTTGCCGACTTTGTGGAGCTCAAGCGTCTTTGTGCTATGGATGTTCTTTCAGAAGACATTTCAAGTGTAGTGGCAGATGCAAGTCAGTTGACAACCAAATTTGTTTATGACTGGCGCGTTTGAAGGGCTTCAAGGACCAATCTGGTGCAATTTCAAAGCGATGGCTGAGACGATCAAGGCTTGTGGCGCGTGAATTTGCATTTCTGGAGAAACGAAGTGACACATATGCACCGGCTACATCAACACACATTTTGAATCTTTTGCCAGTGCTATATCTTCAGAAACTCAATGATTTGTCAGCCTTGGAAGACAATACCCAAAAGTCAAAGGTCATTCTGGGAACCATTGACGTCAAGGACGCGTTTCTCGTGGTGGAGCAACCATCTCCAATGGTGGTGACGCTTTTGGGCAAGAAGTACTGGGTTCGAAAGAACCTACCAGGGCAACGCTTGGGTGCTAAGAGCTGGTATTGGCATTTGAGACATTTTCTATCTCAAAGCATGGACTTCAGGTTTTGCATTGAACAGCCCTGCATTGCGAAAAATGATCATTGTGCAATCATGGTGCACGTGGATGGCATTTTGTTTTGCGGTGATGCTGGTTACTGGAACAACGTATTTCTCAAGAAGTTTGCAGAAACTTTTAAAATCAGCCATTCTCAGTTGGGGATGTGGGCACCGAGATTTCTTTCCTCAAGAGGACTATCAAGCGCCTGGACAAGGGATTGGCGCTTCTTATCCCTGGAACAAGTGCAACCAAGGTGATCGAGCTTTTTGAAAGCCACTTTGGTAAGGCAAGAGCTCAGACTATCCCATGTGATCAGTCAATCCAGGTGGAAAATGTGTCAGAGCCTCTGGGGAGCCACGAAGCGTATGCATACAGAGCTGTCATTGGCACATGTCTTTATTTGGCCAGAAACAGGCCAGATTTGCTTTTCGTGGTGAAGGAGTTGAGTGGTGCCATGAGCAAACCAACGTTGACTTCCTTACAGAGACTTCGAAAACTTGTGGGGTACCTCAAGCTGACAGCAGATGTTTGCGTTGTTCTGGATGCACCAGAACCTGGACAAGGAAAGTGGAAGAACAGTGACAAATTTTGGGTGCTGGAATCTTTTTCTGACTCAGATTGGAGCAGCAACCAAACCCACAGACGTTCAACAAGCTGCGGCATACACATGTTGAATGGTGTATACCTATTTGGAAGCTCAAAGAGCCAACGCGTGGTGAGCCTCAGCAGTTGTGAAGCAGAGCTACATGCTCTGGTGTCCACCCTTTGTGACGGAATCTTTCTCAGAAGGTGTTTGCAGTTTTTGACTGGTGCTGTGATTGATCATTTTCTTTTCACAGACTCATCCTCGGCCAGGCAGTTGGCAATGAGGCAAGGAACGGGAAAAGTCAAACACTTATCAGGGAAGATTCTTTGGGTGCAGCAGTGGGTTATGGAAGGGAAAATTGTGCTCATTCAGATCCCTACACTTTGGAATCTGGCAGATCTGGGAACAAAATCTTTAGGAGGACAGCGCATCAAACTTTTGCTACATGAACTGAACGTTGCGCATGGTGATGGATCAGAATTGGTTGGGCAGGAGGAGTATGATCAACAATGCAACAGGCATTCTGGAGGAAAGCAATTGACAAAGCTTGCAAAGTCCATTGCACGCATTCTGCTGGTGGCAGGCCTTGAGTCAGGCACTTCATCACGAGGTGTTGGCGCGGTGACAGTGCTGGATGATGACGATTTTTCTGGCATGCGAGAACAGTGTCTTAAGGAGCCCAATGACGCAATTCAGCAGAACGGTGGATTTTCATGGTGGGTGATTTTTGGACTCATTTGTCTGACCATGTTGCTTGCTTTTCTTTGGAAAACGTATCAAAGAACACGTGACGCCTTTGATAGCTATGATCATCTCTACACCCAACATGCAATCCTGGACAGTGCATACAATCAAGTTCAGAATCAGTATGAAGCTTTGCAAAAGAAACACGATGATCTCAATGACCTGGTCAATCTCCTTCGAAGGGCACTACATGAACTCGAAGGAAGCCAAGAGATGCTTTCGGATCAGTTGGAAGGAGTTCACTATGGCTTGGTGATGCTCGGAGGGTACAGTAATCATTCAGATTTGAATCCTCAACAACGTCAACATGTATACAATGTGGAGCGTGCAAACCTCATTGCTGCAAGGACTATGGGAGCCAACAGGTTTATGTCAACAGTTCTCCAACAAAACCGCGGATCCGGTGTTGGGGAAGACACAGATATGGCAGATCTGACAAGGGAAGAAGCAGAGAGTGAACGACCTCTAGCTGAGGATCCTTTGGTCAGAGAGACAGGTGATGAACCAGTTGGAGATCTCACACAGGTCCACAACACATTGAGGAATGAACTGAATGCATTCCTATCAAGGGAAGCATGGGCTGATGCAGAACTTATTCAAAGGTGTATCATGTTGATTTTGGACGCCCTCAATGGAGCTCAACCATTGCAACGTGGCCCGCGTATCCAATTGTTCCAACAGCTTGGTGATAGATTGGAGGTCATTGCTGACCGACAACGACAGAACAAGGAAGATTTGATTGCAGACAGATTTCAGAACTATTCAAACCAGTGCCGTGAAATGGCATTCATCGAATGATTTGCATGGATTTTTTTTTGGAAAACCGTGAAGGCATACAACGTGGCTGCAGTTGTGCACAACAAATTCTGTGCATTGGCGGTGGGAAATGTTTGAGAGTGCCAAAGGTCAAAACTCCTTTTGCCCATTGGCAACGAGGAGTGCATTTCAGACAGTACTCATGGGCATATTCATGGCCACTGCACAAGGATGAAACGCACAAAACGAGACTGCAGTCACTGACAGAACTCTTGGACCTTGCATGTGAAAACACATTGCATTACTAGGCCTGTGGTTCAAAGTGAAAAGGTCCGCGTTGCTGCCGCTCCATTTGCATATAGAGTTTGTAGGCAACTTGGGAGCAATGGAGATGTGTTCGACAGCAGCCTTCATGGAAAAAACAGGGAACCCGATGACATGAGTAGCCATGTTTTAGTTCATTTTAGGTTAGTTTATTTTTCCATAATTTTTTCGGGTTTATTTCGTTAGGCTAGGGATGGTGATTTGCAACAAAGAAACCGGCAAATGAAAACCCTATTAAATGGGCTCATGACATTTCTGCGAAAAAAACGCGCAGGAACCGTAAGATGGATGTTTTTTGTTCTCAAACTCGATACAGTTCATCCCAAAATCACCTTCTTGTAATTTCTTGTATAACATATAAATCGCATGACATCTTCATCCTCGACAAATGGAGACCCTTGGAAGAAACATGATTCATTTTGCTAGGGCATGATTCAGTTGGATGGTGGATTTGTCGTCCTTGTTGTTCAAAGGCACGTGTGCGCCTTGCGACACCACTAACTAATTCCCACCTTCACATTGTGCCGAAATTGACATCAGCAATGATGTGTGAAAACATTTGGAACATTTTGGAACAATTCTCATGCAGATATTGATGTTTTTTTGGAAGTGTGCGTCCCACATTTTGCACCAACCAAATCTATTTTGAAGTAATTTGTTGGGTTCCATCACAAGATGGTTGTCAACTAGCAGGGGATCGCACTATCAACAACCCAATGTAGACACTAAAAAAATACGAACAAACATGCATATCAGGATTTTGGCCTACAATGCGACACAACATGTTTCATGTTTGATTACACACAAGACAATTTACAAAACAAGTTACTTGGTTTATTCAGAACAAATTGACTGCATTCATTCATGACTCCGCTTTTCCCGTATTGGCCCAAACAAGCAGAAAAAAATAAATTTGATAAACCAACCAACCACTAATTTCAAAACACACGGTGGTTTTGGTAAGTTTTGGGCATTTTCAAACATCACTCACAGCGAAATGAAATGTGGTGTTGACGTTAAACAATACAAAAAACCAAAACACAAAACCAAAAACAAGTAGGAATTCCAAGGAGGGTTTTCGGCAAACGTTTTTGTGGTATAACAAATTCTGAGCGTTTTGGGAGCTGCGGTGCAGGACCCAACCTTTGCCGAATGGGACGGGAAACAAAACAAACAGAACAGGTTGATTTTCTGTGAAAACATCGATTCAATTGAACATCGGAATTTGCCTTTTGTCAGGCCTTGTGCCTGCAGCTCCCCGGAGCATGTCAACCTCGCTGGCAGTAAGTGCCATGCCCAGTGGCTGTGTCCGGGCGAAAATTGCAGTGAATCGTTATTTTTTTCAATGCAAAAACTTGTTTTTTGAAACAAATCTGGGAACGTATCGGCGAAGTACTCTTGAGATTTTAACAAATCATGCCGTGGATTTACAACAAATTGGACTATCGCTAGACGGAAAGAGGGAACTCGCTGCTGAGGCATGAATAAAGGTAGTCGGCCACCACCGCGCCCACCCATGCCACCTGCAAAGGCACTGTGTTGTGGGACTGGTTGTTCAAATTGTATGGATAGGGATAGGGATAGGGATATGGATATGGATATGGATATGGATATGGATATGAATAGGGATATGGATATGGGCCAAACAAACTTTGACTAACATGTAAATTTGGGTTGTCTATCCGCAGTATATAAGTGCTCCCGCTCGTCGGTCTAAATTGCATTCTTTATTTTTGAACCTGAACAAATGCGCAGTTCAGAATAGATTTGAAAATCTAGAAAATGCACATAAATGGGTGGTTGAAAACAGATGTTGATATGAATGTATTTCCTCTGTTGGTTGGTCGGATTAGTTGGTGTCAGGATTCAGGACTCTGTCTTGGCCACTTTGTGGCTTGCAGGTTGCCTCTGCGCCCAAGGCGCCACAGGCTCTGCCAGAGCCGAACTCAGATTCACTCACAGAGTGTGGGGTAGTGGTGTCGGAGATTGGCAGTGGACGGGCGTGAACAAAATTGTGAATCTCTGGTTGACGTGTTTTCGATTTTTGCGAAAGGTGGATGGATTTGGCAGCAATTCCATGGTGAAATCCATGGGTGTAATGAGGCTGGTTGAACGGTTGAAGCACGGTTGAAGCACGGTTGAAGCACGGTTGAAGCACGGTTGAAGCACTGTCCCCCGTGGTTCACCCCATGACAGACCGCCCCCTCGGCCTGGAGCCCCTGGAAATCTTCGACCGTTTGCGCCACTCCAAGGGCAAGGCGGTGAGATTTTGGGATTGGGATTTTTGGTGTCACGGATGCAATGATTTGGTGGGCGCTTCCACCTCTGCGCAGTATTGGCTTTAGACTTTTACAGGTCCAGTCAGCCACAGACATTTTTCTTTGCCGCTTTCAGGTCAGCCACACCTTAGGAAAATGAGCCTTGAAACTTTCGGAAGGGTTGTGCTCCCGGGTGGATGAAGCCTCTCTAGCCATGCCATGGGGAAACTCGGTGGTGTCCTGCTGCTCCTACTTAGATTGGTACCATGTCAGACGCAGGCGCGTTGAGCATTCTGAATATTTCTGAATCCCATTCCCAACCTTTCAGCTCCAGTCTTTCCATTTCTTTCCATTTCTTTCCATTTCTGTACCATGCTATGTTTTTTTTGTGCAGGACACCCCAATTACTGGCGTTTTGGCGGGGATGGCCGATCTTTCGGTCCTGTCGCTCCCTCAGTGGATTCCAGTGGATCAATTCCAGTCGCTTTTTCAAGACGAAAACCCCTGAGGTATAGTGCGGTGAGACTTGCTAAACTGAACTTCATTCTTGAAGGCGACTGCAAGGGCCTGGGGCGGCTGTTTGGAGCAGAATTCGCCGATGTTTACGTTGACTGACCACATTTGACCACGTTGATCGTGGAAGTAGCTGCAGGAGTTGGCCCTTTCACCATGTTTGCGCCAACCAACGCAGCTTTCAGACTCTTGGGGCCGGGCATTGCAGCCACCTTGCCACTTGGTGTCAAGATCGCTGTTGGGGTATACTGAGTATACTGTATACTTACGAAATAAATATATGTACATTAGGGGTAAGGGAGTCTTCAAGTAGTATCAAAATTCGATACTTGATGGTATTGCTGCTTGGTATTTTGGTAAAGATCAATGCCTGGAGATTGCTGCAACCTCTGTAAAACTCTTTGAGATTGGAGATCTTTGATGATCTTTGTATCAGTCACAGTCAAATTTAGTCAGCTCTTCTGACGCAGTTCGAGCCCTAGGATGGAGCTAGAGAACACAGCCTACCTTACGCAGGCCTAGGAGTTTGCTCGGGCACATCTGTGCTTGGTATCAGCTGGCTTGAGTTTGCCGCGAAGGTGCTGCAGTATCACCTTTGCTACGGCAACACTCCGAGTCAGGAACTTCTACCCGGGCAGGACTGAGAAGTTTGAGTTTTTGATCGTTTTTTGTGTACATTTCTGATAGGATCGATAGGAGCTGTGCTTTTTTCTGGCCAGGAAATGTCTACTTTCCAGGCCACCAGTTCTGATACGCTTTCTTGCGCCAAACATCACCAAAGTAGATTTGTCTAGCAGTCCAGGTTTTACTATGTAACGAACTATATAACTGTTACGATTTTTGTCATGGCTTTGCCGGTGCAATTAGTTCTCGGAACTATATTGACGTGAGTGAGTTGAGTGTTCTTTTTTCATCTTTTTCCCAAATCCATGGTTTCGCTATTTGCACGAATCGGTTTCACCATTTGCAGGGGGTCACGCTATCTGTGACATCCATCACACCTTTTCGAGTGAAGCGTGGCCTCTATAGCTTGATGTGACAGAGATCATGCTCGGTCCGTTGGTTCACACAACCTTCGCTTGAAATCTAAGGAAAAAATTCCCATCTCGAGACAAGATATCCCAGCAACGAATGGCCTGGTGCATACCATTGGGCAAGTGTCATGGCTTTTTTGGCACTTGGAACCAAGTTGAACCAAGCATATCCTTGACACTTTTGTATCAAATCAGTTGATTGTTGTTGCTGTCTTCTAAAGGTGGTTAAGATTGGTTTGGCGGGCCAAGCCCAGTGATTTCATTGTCGTTGCATGGAAATTAAGGTGATGATACCGCCCAACTTTGTGCTCCCGCCTCCAAGGATGAATCTTGCACTTCAGTTGCAGTAGTTAGTAGTTGCAGTAGTTGCAGCGCAGCGGTCCCAGCGTTTGCTTGGAATGCTTCCAGGTAGAACTCGTCCAGAGTGAATCGTACCTCTCGACCCTGGCAGAGGCCTGCGGAGTAGCTCATGCTCTAGTCATTTTGTTATGTACATATTGAAATCATGTAAATCACTGTAAATCATTTTTTAAATTTTAAACCCAATTTTACATCATCTCTGATTCAAAGCCCAGTGCAAAGCCTAGTCGTGACTTTGCAGTTTTTTTTGGAGCAGGCCATAAAGCTTACTGGTCTGGAAGTACCTCTGAAAGAGGGGCCTCTGACTGTCGCTTGAATGAATTTTCTTGAGACCCAAACAAATAAGACATCTATGTCATCTTGAAATTTCACCAAGCTTCAATTCTTTGGGATCTGAAATTTCAGGATTTGAGTTGTTTGAGTTGTTTGAGTTGTTTGAGTTGTTTGAGTTGGGGCTAAAGGACCGGAGCTGAAGTCCTCAGCCGCCATTCGCTCAGGTCTTGATGCCCACGAACGATGCCTTTGCGGCACTGGGCAACGGTGTGATCACCTCCATGGTCCTGGCACCCAACCTGGAGAAGCTGCGACAGGCGAATGAGTTGTTGCTGAGGGGACTGGCGAAACTGGCGGCGAAATCGAAGCAAATTGAACCGAATTGCCAATTGGTGTCTTTTTAGTCAAACATGATTTCAAAATCGTAGTGTTTTTAAATCATTCAGTCAAGAAAAAATGGAACATAGTGCAAACTTAGTTCAACGATAATGGTTTAGACACGTTTCCATGGTCTTTGCAGGAACAAAGAGGAAAATGGAGGAACTCAAGGCAAACGGCTCCAAAATCACCTTTATTTTTCACTGTTCTGGTTTTTCGATCAAAACATACTTCAGAGATAGTGAACGAAATTTCCTTAGTTTTTTTTTTTACCATTATCCTTTCTTCTTCTTCTTCAAACATCGGCAAACATCAAGGGAAAATGACACCAACAAGATGGCCTTCAGCCTGGGGAGTGTTTCTTACCAAAAGTCTTTACGAAACTTCCAGAGTCTCTACGAAACTAATCCCTCCAACATGAAATACCCCGACAGACCGCGGTAATTCTTAACCACAGTTCCTGAGGGGTATTTTGGTATTTTTGATGAGGGGAATTCCAGGAAGGGATTACGACATCCAATGCCCACCGTCGTAGAGTCGTAGCGATGCTTCGGACATCACTCGACAGGTCTTGTTGCACCACGTCCTGACGGGGGCCCAGGCATGGTACGACAGTACTGTTGGCGCTACCCACCTCGAACCTCTGTCATCCTCTGTCCTTGCAGGAGACAACCAGGTTGCAAGCAGGAACCACATTGATGACTCAATCTGGAGGCCATGTTATCTTTCACATTCTTTGACTTGTTTCTTGAAGTTTCTTGATATGTTGGTGTTCGCAGAGATTTGCTTCTGGATTGGGAGACGCGGTTGAAATACCCCTGCACCGCTCCGGTTTGTAACAAAAGTTTGGGTTGACCGTTGACTCTGTGGATACCAAGTTGAAGCCCTGTTCTGGCACAGGCCAGATCTTGATAACTCAGAAGCTCGACAGCAGTGTTCTGTGGCAGCTGTGACCTCAGTAGATCAGCAGAGCTGTTGAACACCTTAAGGACAGATCCCCTCAAGGCACACGGGAGCCTCTTTGAGACCGGTCTGCCATGGTCTGCCATGGTCTGCCATGGTCTGCCATGGTCTGCCATGGTCTGCCATGGTCTGCCATGGTCTGCCATGGTCTGCTAGTTGTTGAGTTGTTCGAAGCATAGTCATGGCATGTCATGGCATAGTCAATTCTCACTTCATGACCTTTCGATTCGGTGAGATTCGGTTGGGACATCCCTGCGAGGTGGATTCCAGATCCACGGCAATCAGCGCCAACGTGCCCGGGACAAATGGCTTGTTGCACGTGGTAGACACGGTGCTCTTGCCGGCAGGCGCGGTGGTGTGGTCCACCAATCGCTTAGAAAATAAGTAGTCATGGTAGTAAGAGATGACAAAATGGGTGGGAAAACATGGGATATCTGGAGAACTGGGAAGTTTTCTGGAAACCAAGATTCTTAAAAGGTCCTAAGGTGGTCTCGTGACTGATATCGCACACCCAGGATTCACCTACCCGGACAAGAACCTCTTGCAGCTGGTGCTTGCCCTGAACCGTTTCAGTTTGAAGGAAACTGTCTGTTGAGAAAATTCATGGGTTCCCAGGTTCCCAGGTTCCCAGGTTCCCATACTTCGCAATTCAACCATCTGAAGAGACCGCCGATGCAAGGTGCAGCAGAGTCCATCTCTGTCAATCTTTGCAGCAGCGATAGCGGCCACCGGCCTTGAGAACACTCTGAATGGAAGGTTATCAGGTGGGGATTTTGAAGCCAAACGCTCAACAGAGAAGTGAGGCTGTGACCACCATCCATGGTTTATCACCATTTTCCCTCATTGAAACCGTGAATTTCGGGTAATTCCTGTATAGTTTGAGAGATCCAGACCCAGGTCCTGACCTTCATGTTCATGACAAGACAACCGAGAGACAGACTCGGCACCGCAGGAGAAACGAGGTACACGCTCTTCGCGCCTACGAATGACGCATTTCAATCATTGGGCATTGGTGTAGCAACCTCCTTGCTGATGCCAGCGAACCAGGTCAGACGCACATCAGTCTGTTTGTTTTCATTGATAATATACCTATATATACCTAATATACCTTTGCTGCAGGTTGAAAGAACTTTGGACATGAAGATGTTGAATCAAACCATTGAGATGTGCCTCCGTCAGGTGAAATTGTACCAGATCGTCCGGTATCATTTGCTCTCAGGCGAGCTTGTTTCGGAATTACTTTGCTGAAGGAATTCTACTTGCCACGCACAGAGTGAAACTTTGTAAAGTTGCCTTGCAGACTTTGTAAATAATTTGTAAACGCAGGTGCTCGTGAGAGAGACGAGTTCACTGCCAATACGGCGGTACAAACTCTGGAGCAAAGCTTATTGAAGATCAGTGGCTTGGCTACACTACATTTGTGGGGCAGATGTGCATTTGAATGCGGAATGTAGATGAATATACTGCGTCGATGTCGATGTTTATTGAAATTCAGGATCTGTGTTGACATCTGTTGACCAGGACAAGAACGGATGTGGACAGATATGGATAGAAAAGGGATAGATACGGATAGTATGGATGAACTCCGGACCTTCAGGTTCCGTCCGTCCCCTCGTGGTGGATGAAGTCGGGACGACCATCGTTGACATTCCCGTCGCCTACTCAGCGACCGACAACCGACAGCACGCAAAGATGCAGCCGGTGCAGCGCCACGCCAGGCCACCAACGGTGTGATGCACATGCTCTCGGGAGTCTTGTTGCCGTTTCTTGACAGTTTGATACAGTTTGAGTATAGAAGGCTGTCATTTTGAAACGAGCTCAAGTGGACTTAAATTGACGCAATGGTACGCAATGCTGAGTGGCTGAGGGTTGGTTTCAGATTTCCAGACAAGAACATTGTGTATCTTGGAAGCAGATTTGGCCATACTCCGCGAAGCAATCGGTTCTGTTTCAGTTCCTTCCAGCTCTTGTCAAATTTGCGAAAACCACGTGAATTCCTTGCTGCAGGCAGGTGGGAGAAAGCACGGACACTTTGTCGACCTTTATCTCTTTGGTGTTGCTGGCAGAGCTCAAAGATCAGCTCTCAATGAATGGTCAGATCCCCAGGGCCAGTGGATGCCAGTGGCCCCACTCCACAAGTGGCACGCAGCACCAAGCGGCACCACGCAGCACCAAGTGGCACCAAGGTCCATACACAGTTTTTGCCCCGACCAATGCAGCATTGGCCGCCCTGGGGCGAACGACTCTGGAGGCTGCACGAATGTCTGGAAGAATGGGGTGACGGTGACATCCTTGGTAGTCCAGGTATAACATGGTATAACCAGGTATGTCCTCAACGTTCCTCAACCAGATTTGGTTCGGAGCCGAAGCGACTCTGGGCCAGACCCTACAGCAGAGCGAGAATCGGGAGATGTTGCGGAAGATTTTGACATACCACGTTTTGGCCTTAGTGACAAAGTGTTCCAAATCTCCAAATTCCAGATTTTCATATATTTCATGGACATTTCAGCCACACCACAAGAGATGCAGTCAGCATGAGTCAGCAATGACTATGACGCATTTGATGTTTCGAAAAGTCATCGAAGATTTGAGGTGATCGATGGCAGAATAGATAGCACGTACTTGAGATATGGCCATGGCCTCATCCTGCGAAAAAACGTTGTGACATCTCCGAGAGACCACAGAAATCTCAGCGTGGTCCAAGGTAGAGAGATTGCAACATTGGAGGTGATGCTATGTGAATCCATGCTGTTTTTTTTTAATGGCAAATCATTCTGCAAGAACTCTGTCCTGTGTGTAGTAGATTTAAACTGATTTTAGCTGGTATTTCTGCGAATTCCTAGGCCATGTTCAAGCAGTGAAAGTAAACTACGCCATGTTAAGCCCTCCACATCCTCCAAGCTTTCCGAACTATCCAAGCTATCAACCAGTCTGAGTGTTGGACAGGGAAGCCCCATCAATGTGAAGCCGTGGACAGAATTGGGATGGAAGGGAATCGCATACGATGCGTGTCTGGGCTTTCAAGACTTGTTACCAGAGAATCTTCTCGGATTTGAATGCATTTCAAACAAAAACAAGTCTTACATTGTCTCACTGTATTGCCATTCTTCATCTCATTTCGAGTGCTGGGATATTCCTGGCTTTCCCTTGGCATACTCTGAGTGGATGCAGAAATCGAAGGTTCCAGCCACCCGTGACCATCAACGCCGATGTGGAAGTCTCCACGGAGAACGTTTTAGCGACGACTTTCTGCAGCACTCGGTCGCTTGTGACTGCTGTGACTGCACGTATGTTGTGAATCCTCTGCACCTTCTCCACTGAGGAATGGAATCGTGCACTTTGTGAGTAAGGCACTGCCAGGGTTGAAGGGAACACTAAACCACAAAGGCAGTTTGATATACTTACACATTAGTTCAACATATGTCCGTCTGGGTACAACTGCCTGTTGGTCATAAATGCATTGTTCCACGATTTACGCTCTTGTCCAAGGTCCTGATTCCACCGGGTATTGAAATTGAAACAGAGTCCGATGCTTGTTAGCATCGAGGCACGAGGCCCCATCTTTCATCCAGTGATCCAGTGATCATCGATGGAAGCGGAGCTAAGGAGAGCGCTCCTCGATTGCCCTTCGCCAGCCTCACCGTCCAAGCTGCGAGTTGGGGAGGCACGATCCAATTTGATTCGGGGAGCTGCAGCTGACAAGCTGACAGGCCAACTTTTTTTCAGACCCGATGGACTGGTGTAGAGGTGGAATATATCCCAACAGTCCCAACACAGGAATCTGATTTAATTTGAATGTGGAATGATGATAAACGGGTACTTTATTCTTGGACAAAGCTCATTGAACGTGATGAACATGTGTCCCATTGTTGCGGCTGATCTTTCTCATCCAAGCTTCTTCGAGGTCCAATGGCTGTGTTGCTTCATTTGTGGCATTGCTTCGCAATGTAAATCCCCCGAAGTTTGGACTATGTCCAGCCAACCTGACCGCTGTCAAAGACAAACTGGCCGGTGATTTTCAATCAGATCCTGGATGTGGCGTGAAGATGTCAATTTTGTTTGAACACCTTTTCTACCTCAAAATCGAGAGCGCCATGGAGACAATTTTTCAGCTTGAGAGCCAGAAACCATTTGTGCTGAACGATCGGAGGAAACGCATCTCAGGAATCAATTTCTAAAGCCACTACAGCTGACTGGTTGGGATTGTTTTGCAGTGGCTTGTGCGAAGTGCAAGTTCTACTGCTGTTTTCGGCAAACCCACCAGAACGAGGCTTTCTCTCCAGCTTTCTCCAATTGGTTTCGAATCTCTACAGATGTCTACAGAGAAATGGCCTCGACAGCCTTGAGTGCAGCTAAAGCTGGTCACTCATTCGGAGCAGAGATTACAATCGGGTGACCTGCCATGCCATGCTTTAAGCATCGTGGCAGGTGGCATCCTTCTTAGACCCAGAGCTTCGGAGCTCGGAGGTATTTTGTGAATGTCTGGCGAGCCCGGGCAGAAATCATGGATATGGAAGATGTCGTAGGAAAACAGGATACTTTGTGCGGAGTGGCATGCTGGGTGTTGTGACCAGTCCAGAATGACACTTTGGATGATTGTGGTAGTTCAATCATACTAACAAGGAATGCAATGCAGATCAATGCAGTCTTGCCGCAGCATTTTTCTTCAAAATGGAGCTGCAGGAAAGCTTGTTGCACCTTGGTTGCCTTAGAGCCTTAGTGATGCCTAAGTGCATTGACTCTTTCAGGGGACCTTGTTTGTGGCCACTCTGCCTCGTTTGAGGCGCCATGATGCTGCAGCCAGATGTTGCTTCGGATGTCGATGGAGGTGAACCGCTCAGTCGATGTCCTGGTTGGGTCAGTCAGGTCTTCCCAGTCGACTGATCAGGTACTTGGTGTACGACACTCAGGGCGACGCCAATTGCATTGAGGCAAGCGGCAGTCGGAAGTGGCAAGCGTCTGATCCACTTCCAGTTGGGGTTTGATCAAGTCATGCTTCGGAAACTCTGAGACTCTGAGAATACTCTGAGAATGACAGGAGTGTTGGTGATATGCCAAGTATGCTTTGGGCGAGCCTTGTCTCAATGCAGTTGCAGTGTCTTCGGGCTCGACGTTTTGCAGGTGTGTTTCTTTCCAAACTCAAACTCAATAAACTCAATTTATAAATCCGCTAAACATCTTGGGATTTTGGAGGTTTGGATGATTTTCCTTGGTGGAGCCTTCTGGCTCCTTTATATGGTGACATGAAAGGCTAGCCGTGCCATGCCGTGCCATGCCGTGCCAATGAGGGTTTTTTCTCTGATTGTGTGATTTTTACAACATCAGGATATATCAGGTGAACCTAAATATCCGATGCAGGCGACACCAGTGAAAGAGGCCGAGTGAAGCATCAAAGATGTGGATGTCAACTGGCAACTTGGCATCGATTGAGTGCTCCCATCTGATGGCCATGCTTTCGTCTGACACAGATGCTGAAATGCCATGCGATGTCCACGCTATCTTTTCCACAGGTTGCTGAGAGGCCTCTACTGGGTGTCTTCGATGAGCAAACGACGAATCGTTTTGGCAGAAGTCTCACACTTTGGCACTCGTTTGTGCTGTGTACATACAACCGACGATATAAGTCAATTGGTCAAAGGAACCAGCCTGCGAAGCTCAAAAGCCAGCTGTGTGAGGCAGGACAGCAATTCCCGAGAGTCACAGCAGGCTGAGTTCAGCATCAAAAGTGCCGAGTGACATGGCGGGGATCAAGCAGTTGAAGGAGGTGAAGACATGTTCCAACCAGAGAGTAGAATGGCTTTGGATGATCTGGGATATTCTGGGATCAATCATTCCACCAGCACTCAGGCACACAAAATGCCATGAAAAAAATGTAATTTTTCGAATCCGGCTGTAGACTCCACTGGGCTCAAGGCACTCGCGCTTGACGGGGGGTGCCGTGGATGCGGCACTGGGCGGGTTCAATCCTACCAGGAAGCCCCCTCAAAGAGGTTGGCTTGGAGCCAGTGATTAGCCAGGTCCACGGTGAGACCTGGTGAGACTTGGTGAGACCTGGTGGCCATTGAACAAATTCCCCTTTGTCACATGGATGCCTCCTCAGAAAGCCGAAGAAGTCCGTTACTGGGGTTTGATGGTACCTCCTCTGCCTCTCTCCCAGTGAGAAGCAGAAGACAAGCAAACAGCACGGGAAATGCTGATGAAATGGTGAGACGACTCAGTGAAATCTCCACCTCATCCATCAGCTTCGATGCCAACAAGCTCGCGATGTACAAGAACTTCTCAGGTAGATCCAACTATGCCCGGGACTTGGATGGCGAGGCACTTGGGCGAAATCCAAGAAGATGTCGGACCACCGCAGGATATCCTGCCACCCGATCGCCTGCCATCTCTGAAGTGGAAGATCTTGAAGCCTTTGGTGATATGCTGAAACGAGAAAAGGAGAAAATCGAGAGTCCGCCCTCGAAGTCAGTGATCACCTTTGACAAAGCTTCAAGAAAGTCCAAGACCACAGTGGTATCTCTGTGAGGTGTCGTCCACTGTGTCTACCTGGAAAAGGTGAACTGAGTGGCCTGAGTGGCAGACATATCCGTAGTGGAATGTTGTTCACCTGCAAGATTCTCAAACTGGAGCTGCTCCTTCATACCGAAACGTTCTGATATGTTCTGATTGCTAAGATTCCATTGAAATAAACAGATTAAACAGATGATTACATACGGTAAACGACTGGAAGATCTCCTGCTTCAAGCCTTCTGCAGTTGGTCCTTCGCTAGTTCTGAGTCAGCTCCACTAGAAGGCAAGTCGGAATGAGCGACTGAAGCCGCTCGCATTGGGATCTCCCATTGGGAGGTCGTTTTCTCTCGCATTAAGGGCAGTGTGACGAAGACATGACTCGATTGTTGCGATGATTGAGAACCCCTCAGCATCAAAATCTAAAGAATCTCAGTCATTGAACTAAAATACTAAAAATTGCTTGGCAGAGAACCACCGGTGAATGAGAGTTCCAGGTGTATTGACATCATTTGACATCCATGCCCTGCCGTGGCAGTTTCTTGATCTTGCTCGAGATGCGAGTTCCAGAACCTATTTAACACAGTTTCACCCGAGACCAAAACCAGATAAGCAAAACATGTGATGACAGCTGCAGCAGCATAGACAGCTGGATGTGTGACCATGCGATATGTTTGCTTTCGGTGTAATACTATCAGGTATATGTATACAAATATTAATATATTGATCCTGCAAGCACAAGCACACTGCAATATAGTGATCGAAGATATTGCAACCATTTTGAAGATAAAACAAGTTGCGTTGAGCATGAAACCTTTGCCAGGCAGTCCAATGACAGGGCCTTCGCACTTTGGGGTGTCCGTGCTCCAACCTCAGTGTTCAATGAAGGACTGGGAAGGATTGCCCCCTACATTAATCCCCAAAAAGACAGAAAAGAACACTCCTATCAAAATAGCGATGAATCACAGGTCTACATAGTTCTACGCAGTTCTACATAGTTCTACCTTTTTGGTTGCTGAAGATTATCAATCAGGATGATTGGCCCGAACTTGGGAGGTTGTGAATCTGTACACTTTTCCAAGCGCCGCATTTGACTGTGATCCAATGGTCCAAGGCCCGGTCCTTTGCGGCCGCCTATGCCGGGGATGGCCACTGGAGGAGAAAATGTCGATTTCGGCGCAGTTGCCGGCCAGTTCCTCAAGTATTTTTGATCAATTTTGATCTGTCTCAGGAGGCTTCAGGCCTGGCTGTCCCGGCTTTGGGGGACAAGGCGGAAGCTGCACATGCCAAGAGTTGCGTGTGAAAGACATCTCACCTGCAGTGATCGTGCTCTCCAAGCTCAAGCTCTGAGGTTTTCCAGCGTCATGCGGACCTGGCGGACCTTCGTATCCGGGACCATTGCACGCCCAGTCCAGGCCAGTCGTGAAGTCGTGCAGAGCCAGAGCCATGGCTCCCGTAGCTCCGGTGTGACTTCCTGAGGCCAGCGATGACGGCGCCAGGGCCCAACGGCGGCCTCAAGGTGTGGTGACGTGTGGTGACAGTGGCTGTGTCTTGGTCATGACCTGCTACCGAGAGTCCTTGCAGGCACAGCTCGTCCTTCGTCCGGAGGATGATGTGGAAGTGCCGGTCGTGGAGGACATGGATTGCTGGATTTGGATGGAGGTGGTGGATAATGTGGAAAGATGTGGAAAGTGCCTAAGTCCTAAGTGTTTTCGAAGGAAAGCAGCTAGTCAGTGCGGGGCTCAACATGTCTGCCGGATCTTGCATGTTTTGATGAAGGACTGGCAAGATGATCCAGAGAAGGCTCTATCGCCGCAGTTGTATCTTTTGGCAAAAGAGTTGCAGTTTCACACAGCCTTTCATGTCAGTTGCTTCGTTTATGAATGCTTGGCCCGGTTGATTGATAAGCTTGGTGAACTCAAGTGACAAAATCCACAGCCACCGCATTTCACCCTAACATTGGAGACAGGTGGAGGAAGCGGAGATGCAATCTCCACAGGCAAGGTCCCTCCCGCCATTCCCAGTTTGGCTACTTTTTAACGCCCTCAACACATGCTGCCTCCAAACCTCGATATTTCTGACAATTTTCGGACAGACCCTCCAAGGACCCTCCACAGAATCCACAGAATCCACATGATTCCACAACCGTCTCAGGATGAGAAACTGCCACCTGAGCAGCTGGAGAGTTGTCTCCTGTGCCTCGACAGCCTCGACAGTGTCCGGTGTCCAACGGTGCGCCGATTTGCTGATCTCAGTTGGACCATGGACCAAGGCGCTGGACCCGACCTGGGCCCATCGTCCCAGAGGAACTGGAGTTGGAAGCCCTGGGAAGTCATGGGAAGTCATGGGAAGTCATGGGAAGTCATGGATTTTTTAGTGACATTCATGGGTTGCAAAGGGTTCGAGATGGTAGGATGAGATCAGATAGATCAGCATCTGAATCTCTGATTCTTTGAGTTTGGAATCTATTTGGGTGGCTGTGCTCCGTATCCTCCGCTTGGCAAAAAGTTATCGCCTAGGAAGCTTCCGAAAGGAATCGAAGCTGTCGCCAGGATCTCAGATGGAGTGGACAAATAGTAGGGGATCGTTGGAACCACTCTTAGCTCCATAAAGTTTAGTTGAAGTGTTAAAGGTTGATAAAGTTTTTGAATAGTTCGTCTAATTAGTCTTTGGATGTCTTTGGATGTCTTCAGATTCACTTGTTTGCTGTGAAATCACATCATGATCATGTGAATCATGTGAATCATGTGCCGGGTCACTGAGATGGCGCGGAAGATCTACCGACACCGACAGCAACAGATTGTGGACGTCTTTGACAATCTCTTCACCGATGTGGTGGACAAGGCCCTCTTTGAGTTGGCCAAAGAGGCGAGGCACTGGGAAAGACCACGTCCACCGGTCCACTGGTCACTTTCCCAATTTGCAGTGACTACTTTGGGAGATCCCCAGATACCATCAGACACCAGCATTTTCAGACAATCCCTGCAACTTCTCCAACTTCATGGGGAACATGAGATGATAATCCGTTGGGATTGGGGGAGATTCGCCATGATGCCATGAGGTTTTCATCAAAGCCCGGCCCGATGCTGCGAAGCCGGGCCCTTGGAAGCTGCCTGCTGTGACTGAGCAGTCCATTTATTTGAGCAGTTTGATGCCACACTACTTCGCTGTGACATATGATTGTCGATTATGAACGATTGTGATCGATTGCAGATGATTGAAGTATCATATCGTAGTATAACATGTGGCTGTTTGATCGAGTTGAATCGAGTTGAGGGACACTTTCAAGCCACAAAGGTGAGCAGAGCTGACCCGAGGTCTTGGGACCTGCTCTCTGCGCGGATGTCCTCCTTTGGTGGAGCAATGGTCTCAGGGGAGGCAGAAAGTTCCACACTTTTTGTCGGCAATCCTTGGTTTCATGTCATGGCAGAGAGAACGAGAGAATATAGGCTGCAAATTTTTGTGCAAAACATGAATGTGGAGCTTTCTTTTCGCAATTTGCATGAACGTGTATCTCTTGGCTGAAACCCGAACGAGTGCATGCAATGATGTGTACGTGGTCTACTTTGGCTTTGGGAGTGCGATGGCACCCAAATACTAGCCTCAGATTGTACTTACCGGCTGCTGCGAACATGACAGGGTTTCGCAGACTGCATCCCAAGTCCATTTAGGAACTATTTTCAAGGTGTGTTTAGGGCAATCCAAGTCAAACCTTGGGCAAGGGTTGTGGAGAGGTTTGGGGCACAGCCGAGGATCAGTTGAAAGGGCTTCTCTTGGATGACGCAGAAGGACCGAAGGTGACCAAACTGATCCGAACTGGTGATGGGTTTCCAAAATTTCATGATGCTATGTGTTCAAGTTCTATGTGTTCTATGTGCTATTTCATGCGATTTTCAAGTGTTGAGCTCTTTTGTGCAATCAGCCCTTGCAGTGGCAGCATGAGATGACCGTTGCACTTGGAATGTGGACAGTTGGAAGATGTTGGAACTATGCGATGCAGGTGGTGGAAATGAGTCCTAAAACGGACCAAGAAGATGAGGAGGAACGGACGAAGGAACTCCGTGAATTAATTTGGCTTTGTTCATTCAGTCCTTTCAGCCTTGAAACATGCAAGCGACAAGATTTACCCGGAGGCATGAAACAATAGTAAACAAAATATGTTTCTCTTGTGACCTGTTCCAGATCCGGATCGTAGCATTCGACCGATTCGACGCCAGGCTGAAACCCAAGTCATGACAAAGGCTCAGCCCATGACGAAGGTAGGGTCTGGCAAAATTGGGAGGTGAAATTCGAAGTTTAAGTCAATCAGCAACCACTACTTTCAAGTTTTAAGGTGCACAATTAGTGGAAACATATTGAATGATCTCTTGATTCAAATTCGTTTGTCTTGATTTCACTTCCGTCAGCTCTCTACGCTAAGTTCTTTTGGCTTTGCATGATGGATTTAATTTTCCCATGGTCTGAATAGCATTTTAAGCATTTTCTTTCACCAACCACCATGGACCCGCCATCCTCGCAGGCCCTTCCGGTGAAGGCGCCTGAAGCGTGCGTCAGCTCCACTCCAGCGCTGCCAGTTGGGTGCAGGACTCGGTGAACCAGTTGGAAACCGCCAAAAATCCGAAGGAGCGGTTTGACTTTGATATGGCTATGGATCAATACCTATGAAAATACCATTTTTAGGGGGATGAACATCCATAAATCCCAGCTATTTTGATGTGAACTACAGGGGGATAGGGTTTTGACCCATCCCCATATATTCTGATATACTCTGATTGATGGCACAGATGAAGGAAACTGAAACTCAAGAAGTTGGAACCATGAGAAAACAGGTAGCACTGCTGGTAGCACGTCACGGCGTCGCGGTCGATCCGTTTTTCCCATCGGACTGAGGCCACTGGCTCCGCAAGCACAAGCTCTGCAGGTGGGCTGATGTGGGCTGTTGGTTTGAATGACTTATGACATTCCGATCCGTGTGTTTGTCTGAAAATGGGGTATATACGGTATAACACCTCAGTACCTCCAAATCCACTAACGCTACATTATATTATCATTATCTTTGATCATATATTAAACCATATCTATTCCAGGATTTATTCCATTAAATGATTCAAATGCCATTAAATTAGATTCAAAGGCAATTTTGGAGCCCCGTCTTCAGACCCATGCGCTCTCCAGGCGCCACAGATGCCAATGTCAGCAATGCCCATGGCAAATCCACTGATGGCCCAGCTGCCCGGCATGTGTGCAGCCCAGTTGTGCGGCATAGGTATAGGATGGTGATGGATGGTGGATGGTGATGGACTTGTAATGGATGGTATAGCTTCTTAATGGGGAAAACACTTGAAAACAAATCTTCCAAAGACATGGGTCTAGACAGTTGGTTGTCTTGGAGTTAGTTGGAGCCGGCGCAGCTGCCCTCAGGATGGGTTTTGGAGCCATGCCAATGGTGCCAACGATGCCCATGGGTGCCATGCCTGGCGCGATGCTGGGCAATGCCATGATGGAGGAAGACGCCAAGGCCAAAGAAGCGAAGGAGGCGCAAGAAGCCAAAGAGAAGGAGGCCAAAGAAGAGGAGGCACAACTGAGCTGCAATTCTAGCATATACATTTTTTTGGACATATTTTTCCCTTCCATATTTATCATTGGTATAATAGACATCAATTGATATCCACTTTGGCCTTTGTGGATCATTTGTGGATTCTGTGCTCAATGGTTGACCCTGCTCTGTGCCGTGGATATCATAAGCTGGTGTTTTTCGGCCACTTGAGAAGGAACTTGAACAATGGGAGGGCAATCGAGGCTGTTTCAAAAATGTGTCGTGCTGTTGATTGACAAGTGGTTTGACCTCCTCTGCAGCCTGCATTGAGGTCAGAAAAAGACGAGAAGCAGAGGCAAAACTCAGTCCAGATGGTGAAAGGTAGTGGGACAAAGTCATTCCTCATAAAGACAACTGACTGAACATTCTATGGTGGTTGTGGTGCATACACAATCAGTGACTCCCTTTGGTACTTAACTGGAAATCCTTGATCCTTGGTATAGGATGCCAGGTCGATTGATCCCCTGCAGGCGAAGGAAGCTGAGGCGAAGGAGAAGGAAAGGGAACGACGGAGGAAGGAAGCTGCCAAGGTTCGAAGCAGTTGATCCGTTCAGCAGTGGACCGTCGTGGACCGTCGTGGACCATAGTGGACCATGGTGGACCCCTGTTGGTCGATGGTTCAGTCCGGGGTTGGCTGTACATCATGACATGTAGACAGCAGCACATGTGCCTAAGAATATGCCCGTCCTAAAGTGGGCAAAGCAGGAGGATGGCAATATCGGATGGGATATGGAAACACAAAGCACGCAATGCGCACAATGTGCAGGGCTAACTGCTGCTGCAAGGTGCCAGTGGAACCTCCACCCATGGAATTTGAAGAGATCGTGAATTCCATGCCTGCCTGAAGCTCTGTATAGTCTGGCGATGCGATGGACAGGCAAGGACACAATAAGAAGCGAAGTACTTACTGGACAAGAGCTGCTGCAAGATGCTTCTGAGGTCACTCCATTCTGGAAGATTCCTGTGCAAAAGGCAGAAATTCCGTGAGATCCCTATTTCGACCATGGCTTATGGCTGCTGGTTTAGGTCAGCCATTTTTTGCATCAAAATCCAAACTCCAACATCTGAATGCCACGGAATGCAATTGGACGTGTTTCAAGAACTGGGTGAAAGATGATGAAACACGTATACTTCGTATAAATTTCGTATACAAAGATGTAGGAAGATCTTCCCGCGGTTTCTGCTTTCTTCAAACTTTAGCTCCAAGGCTTGGCATCAGATTACGAGTCTTCGATGGAGGTGGTGCCCGAGAAGTTGCAAGTTGGGCCACTCAGTGGTGCCATGCGGCCATGCGGCTGTGCCCTGCGGCTGTGCCCTGCGGCTGTGCCGTCCTTCAGCGTTGCATCCGTTGCATCTGTTGCATCGAGGCATGGCGGTGACGAAGTCCTTGATCTTCGGCATGGATGCCGAACGTCAGCTCCAAAGACAGGATCAAATCCTGAGAAACAAAGGTATACCATGGTATACCAGGGATGGCACTGAATGCACTTGCTTCTTTTCACTTTTCCCTGGGTACCTCACTGTTGAAGATCTATCAATTTCTTAACCCAAGAGACTTGAGAGATGTGCACCCACCACCAAGACTGAGGCTCTCATGTTGTTGAAAGACATGGTCAGGGCGTCTATGCTGAGCATGTAGCTTTGATCTACACTCCGAAGGACAACTGGAGGGCCTGGAGGGTTTCTGATTCACTTTGGGCCATTTGGGCCATTTGGGCCATTTGGGATGGTTGCAGAATGTTGCAATACTGACGTGGCTGCTGGTGTGAACATAAATGAACATAGACGAACATCGTGACAAAGATGTGACATTAAATCTGGGAAGGGATGAACTTGCAGGGCTTTCAGCTTCATCCCATCTCGGGTCAGAGCGTGCAATCCGCCCGGGGCCCCAGGATGGGTCTCAGATTCGCAGCGGCTGTGTTGAGCTGCCATGGTGTCCTTGGCTCAGGCTGTTCCTCACCATCCCAAGCTGATCGTGAAGCTTCGCAACGAAGCCGAAAAGCTGTCGGGGGACTTAGGGATCCAAGGCGGTGACATCGGAAACCATCAGAAACCATTGGCCATGGCTGAAATTAGCTAACTGATGGCAGACTGATGGCAGACTGATGGCAGACATTTTTTCCTGATCGATCCATGGCAATGACGAAGTGATGACGAAGTGATGCCAGAGGCCTGATGAGAAGCGAAGCCAAGTCACGGGCCTGTCTGACTCTTGGGTTGACCCGTTGACGCAGGAGGTTCCTGTGAACTGCAGGATCCAACTGCGAACTTTCCCGATGATCCTGATGCTATACTGCTATACTGCACTTCATATTTCATGACAAAATTATACAAAACTCAGGAGATTTGTCAACCTTATGCTAACCTTACCTCCTCATCCTTTTCATCCTTTTCATCGTTTTCATCCCCTGCAATTGCCACAACCTGACAGAAATGGATCCCGAGGCTGGAGGAGATGGAAAAGCACGAGATCCGTACGCGGCCCAGAGCTGCAGGGCCTGCAGGGCCTGCAGGGCCTGGGTGAAATCTGGTGTCCCCAAGGATCTGTGCTGTTTCAGCCTGGAGATGGGCGGAAGAAACTCACGTGGCAGTCCTGTGTCTTCAGCCTTGGGCGCTCCGTTTGGAGCTGAGTTGCTGGATTTCAGAGTGGATGAATCACCAGATATGTCCTTCACAAAACCAGTGTCTGTACTGTATGGTGGTGTAGTAATACAGCCAGACACTAACAGGTTCTGGTGTCCTTATTTTTTCCATTTTTGAATGTACTGTATTAATTATTAATATACATTTATATACTGTAACACTACTGCACCTTTAACAAAGTAGCATTCAGCAAGCAAGACACTGAAAGACTTGAGGAGAGGATCTACTTTCTGGATCTGATCTCGAAAGCCGATCAGTTGCCTGAGGACTGTCACACGCTTCCGGGTGTGCAATTGATTGTTGCATATCATGTGATACTATTTCGAATCGGTTGGAAAGTCCCCAATCCCCATCAATGACCTTCCATAATCTTCTTCGATTTTCAAAAAAAGAGGATTTCCCAGCCAGGTTCAGTCACCGAAACGTTCCGAACCAGGAAGCGGGTGGTCGTAAAGTGACCGAGAAGCCTCCGAAGGCCGAGGCGAAGGCCGATGCCAAGGCCGAAAGAGACGGGAAAAATGGGGGATTTCACCATGCTTCACAATTTATGATAACTTATGGATACTTATGGTAGTTTGAATGGGGAAAATGACGATCAAGCAATATCAAGCATGAGATTTTGGGTGTCCTACTCTTTCCAGACAAACCCGTATAGAGACCTGGGTTGTTTCGAGCAATTACATCATATTACATGGTCATCTTGGTGTTGAATTGCCGCATACGAGGAAACTGCAGCGCCAGAAAAAGAAGTTAAGAGTGAAGAAGCACCAAAAGTGCCAAAGGAGGCGGAGAAACCCATGGTTCATCCATGTGCTGTTGTGTGGTGTTGAGAATTCAGGAGGAGAAAGCAGAGAAAGCGGAGAAGGCTGAAAAAGAAGAGCCTGAGGCGTGCTTGCGGAGATACTCTTCTTTGCTTACATTATTATCTTATATTCATGACTTTGAGAAAGTAGACTCCTTGCTTGCGCACAATGTGAAGGTGGAGGAAGCCAAAGAAGAAACAAGGTTCGGTTCCCCAAACAGCAGCGTGTTTTTGGCAACCCAAGCACGTGTTGTGGCAGTGTTTGCAGTTGTTTGCATTTGCTCACAACACGGCATTTCCAGTGTGGTTTCACTGCAAATCTCAGAGTTATTCAGCAGGTGTTAGCTCACATGCCAGATGAGCTACTGTAATAGTGCGGCATGTCAGCGCGAATTTGAGGTCTGTCAAGGAGGAAACGCCTGATGTCAAGGACTGGAGTGCACGTTTTCGCCGTAGTGGGCCTCTGGCTTGTTCTCTGCCAGCAGGAGAAGGACAAAGCCGAAGAAAAGACAGGTGGGACATGGTGGGACCGAAGACACAAAGTGATGCTTTCCTTTGCAAGCCTGAAACATGATTCAAATCAGTCTGGCTTCAAGACTTTGCATACATGTTTCATTTCCTGAAGGCAAAGAAAAGGAAAAAGAAAAGGAAAAAGAGAAGGAAAAAGAGAAAGAAAAAGAGAAAGAAAAAGAGAAAGAAAAAGAGAAAGAAAAAGAGAAAGAAAAAGAGAAAGAAAAAGAGAAAGAAAAAGACAAGGCAAAGAAGGCCAAGCGAAGTGCTAGCCGGAAACGGCGAGGCTCTGCTAGAAGCAGTCAGCCACTCAGGAATTGCCAAAGGTCCTTCTCTGCTCTTGCTTTTCACTCTGGTTTCTTTATTTTCTGCGAATTCGCCATCGTTTCCTTCGAGGAAGTCGTAGCAAAGACAGACATCGAGACAGACGAGGATCCCGCAGAAGTCGGAGGCGCAGCGTCCGGCACACTGTGATGAAGGCTGTGTCGGCTGTGACGTTCTGTTCGGCCAGGCGGAGTCGTGGAAAACATCGACATTCGTGTTTGCCTCAGATGTCCATTGATGAATGGTCATAAAATGTCATACATCTGACAAAAGTGGACAACATGGGTTCCTATTATTCTTATTCTTCTTATTCTTGTTTGTCTTGTTCTTTGTCTTGTTCTTCGGTTCGCCTTGTTCTTCAAACTGCCCATTGCTAAAAACTTTCCTTGCATCACCACGGATCAGTTCCCTCGCAAACTGTGGAACCGAGGTCTTCCTCCCGGAAACGGAGAGCTTCTTCTGTTGGGCACTTGGATTTCATGTGTTGATTGTACTTGCAGCATCGAGTTTAGCCAGTTTAGCCTGTAAGGTGTGAATGTCCGACAAGTCAGTTGTCATTGACCTGTTGATGTGCTTGTAACCTTACGATCTTGAACAGATATACAATTTGTTTGAATGCCGCATCGCTTTCATGTTGCCTAAGTCTTCTGAAATACCGGAGAAAAGAAGAAGGCCCAAGGGAGACCACCATTGTGGCAAGGACAACCAGACACTTGTCGTGAGTTCAGTCATGATTAGGTCATGATGCAACTTCGCGTTTGTGCCAGGCATTCTAGAAGGAAAGACAAAGAAAGAGGGAAGCGAAAGAGGAAGGACGAGGTACGATGCCCTCCATCGCGTTCCTGTTTGTCATTCCGGAGCTTTCCACGTGAAGCTCCAGCTGCTGTCAAGCTTTCTTGACACAGGAGTCGGAGGAAGCAAAAGACGGCAGCGATGCTGAAGAAGTGCTTACCCCGGACTTATCAGCAATGTTGAGTTGTGGAGTCCAATGCCAGAGGCAATTGATGCATGCAAGTGCCGATTTCAGTCTTGTACTTGTAATCGATGACTTGATTCGTTGAATCATGTCCAACTGTTCTCGGGACGGACGTCAGACTAACAGAACCCATATTTTCTTGAAGCATTTCATGAGCTACACAGATCTTGTGCACAACAAAAGTCAACTGGAGGCACCTGCAGAGTCGCCTGCGGCTTCCGTGTCATCCTCTGATCTCATAGGCACTGCGAAGGAGTCTGTTGGGACCACATTGAGGATTTGTTCAATTTAATTTATTTCAATATTTTGCCAGTCTCAAACCATCAGATACTAGCAACCTGTGAGGGCTCTCAAGGAAAGCGCCCGCTGCAGCTTTTGCGGCTGGGAACTCAATGGCTATCGCCGCATGGGGATGGGAATGTTTGCCTGGCAGCCTGTCGTGCGGGATCAAGTAAACATACTGAAACCATTGTGTCGAAAAATGAGGACAAAGAGGTCTGCTCAACTGCCTTTTTCATCATGTTTCATCATGTTTCATATGTTTCGTAGGCTCCTTGGATGATGAGTCCCCGGGCGATATCAATGGATAGTGTGCATCCAGGACCTTGCGCAAGATTTGCAGCCGCCAGCCGATGGCCAGGAGTATCCTGTGGGGTATGGAACTTTATATATTTATACGCATCTTTTCATTGCACATGATGAGGGCTGCTACTAGTTTGTGAACATTGGGAATCTATGGGAACCTAGATCTTGAGGTTAACATGTCGGTGGTGTTTTTTGGGTTTCTGGCAGGATGCTGCAGCTGAAGCTGAAAAGCAGAAAGCTGACGAGGTGCAGCTGAAGAGAGTTGCTACTAAGGGGCAAAGATGGGGACATCGTGCGATATCCATGGATGATGTGAACCAACCTCAAAATGGGTATGGGTCAAAGTTTAGGACACTGGACTGGTCTTGATCAGCTTTTATTTCAGTAGTTAACCAATTATGTACCCAAAACTAAAATCCTGTTTTGGGCACACAAAGTTGACCATCCCCGTTTTATGTTGCTAGATTCTGCAGGAGAGAAGACTTCGTGAAGAGAAGCTTCGAGCTGAGATCGAGGAAAAGATGCAGGAGCAGATGAAACAAGAAGCTGAAGAAAAGGCACGGAAACAAGAAGTGACTCGGCTCAATACACTTGAGTCACTTGAGCATGGATGGCTTCAGCACTGACCTAGCATTGAAGTTTCCTATTGGAGCATAATATGGCATACCTTTGACCTTAGGAGGAAAGAAAAAAGCAGGATCTGATCCGGAAACTGGAGGAGGATGGGCTGCAGTGGGCATGGGAGGATGGGCACTGGAAGACGCTCCTCATGCTGTGCCACACGGTTTGAAACCAACGCCATCAAATTGCAGGAGAAAAGAAAGCAGCAGCAAGATCTAGCGAAGAAAGAGGCAGGCTGCCCTCAGTTTAGATTCCAGAATTCCTGATATGTCCTTGTCTTGGAGGAGAAAAGGAAGCAGGAGCTTGCCAAGAAAGAGGCAGCGTGGCTACAATCCGGCATCACCTTGTTCTATTCTATTCTTGCTGTAGCTTGTCAATAGCGGTCTGATCAGGCCAAGAAAGCCAAGGAAGCGAAAGAGAAAGAAGAGAGCAAAAAGAAGTCAGCCACATGCAAGTTTGTTGAGCCAGCTCTGCTGAGAATGCGGATTAAAACAATACAGTTGATTCAACTCTCTGTGCACTAAGGGCCCAGTTGGTTCAAGCCAAGCAGAAGGAAAAGAAGGCGTTTGGCACTCCAATTCCTCTTCAAAGCCACATCTGTTTTGGTCATTTTACGGTGCCGCCTAAAACAACTTGTTCAAATTTGTTCAATTGTGCTTGGAAGGCCGTCTTGAAAGCGAAGAAGGACTCCGAGCTGCTTGACTGCAACTGGTCATTTGGTCCTGTGTTTCTCCGACAAGTTGACCTTAGGCCGGGGGAGAGTGCCTCCGAGGTGCGTGGCTGTAGATTCGGTGTAGATCAGGGCTGCATCTGTTACCGCGTCGATGACATGCCATCGATACAGGAAAGCAGCGAAGAGGAAGAGGAAGAGGAAGAGGAGGCGCGTTCGCTGTCACTGCATCCTGGCTGATACTGCCGATATGGTACGGTTCGCTCTTGTGTCCATAGGAAGAGGAAGAGGAAGATGAAGAGGACAAGTCTTGACAACTTCTCAATGTTCCAGTGAATGTGTGGACATTTCAAGGCTTGACTACGAAATCTTCTTAGTTTCAGAGCACATGTGGCTTGAAATATTTGGACATCTTGGCTCTCAGCAAGGAGGAATCCTCTGAACAAGTCAAGAAAGCAGCCTGGATACATATAATTAGTTCTCAACCGAAAAACGCAGGGAGGAACCAAGAGTCATGCCAAGAGTCTCTGCACACAATTTCAGCCGTGATTTCCTGTCTTAGGCGAAGCACAAGAAGGACACCGATTCGTTTCACCGTTCTCTTGGTTTCCTCCAACCTTTCTGAATGCATGGATCAATTTTCGAGTGGCACTGAGCACGGCACATGCTATCGACTTTTTGTCATTTGAAGGACAAAGGGACTAAAAACAAAGACAGCAAAAAGGCGCCATCATCCTTTGATTTCGTCGCCTGTTCTGTAGAGCCTTGCTGTCAAAGTGCCAAAATCTGCCGCCTCGTGGCACGGGTGCAGCCTTGCAGGTACAAGAAGCGCGGAAAAAACTCACTGAGGTGAGTCATGGTGAGTCATGTCCTGTCAACAATAGCTCGTAGAATCCGTGCAAAACGGGCTGGAGCAGAGATAGAAACTCGTAGCGTCCTGGGCTGGTGCAGATTTCATCGACTTTCTGATCTGCTAGCGGCTGTTAGCAGTTGCAACAGGAACTCATCAAGCAGAAGATGAGGGAAGCAATGAGGCCACGGCTTCCTTGTTGGGTCCAGATATGAAGCGATGGACACGGTGAAATCTAAGACAGCAGTGATTTGATTTTCACATGGCCAGGAAGAAGTTAGGGAGCAAAGCGAAGAAGTCGAAGAAGGTCCATGCACCCGACAATGATCGCCCCAAGTGGGCTGGGTTGGAAACAATTCGCCCCATTCATCATCATTCATCTTGATCTTGATTCAAAATTTAGCAAAACTTCAGACTTTCCGTGGCTCTTTGGAAGTGCAGGAAAGCTCCAGCGAGGGCAGCAGCTCTTGAGGGTTCAAAAACCGCGTCAGTTCCCCCTGGGCATTTCGCTGGGATAATGTGGCGAGCGGAGTATCCTGAATTGCTGGGTTTGATACACTGGGTTAGAAAGTGTGACATGAAGAGTTTTCGTTTTTTTCTCAGAAGTTCACACAAAATAGCGTAAGAGCAGAACCGCTCTGCAGTTTTCATGCCATGTGCCCGAACGATGGGCATGTGTATCCCTGTTAAATGATCCCCAACAAGAAGCAAGAACATGGGAAACATGGGAAGCAACCAATCAGAAGTCGGACTCATACATCCATCATGCCAGCGGCCATCACCCCAGGCTTTTGTTAGCCACAAAATCGGTCCATTCCCTGCAGCCTTTGGGCTCAACAGAACCATTGGCAGAGTTGAAGAGACAGGTCCACTGAGCTGGTTGTGTCAGATTCGCAGTTTCTACGGCGGCATCCAAAGCGTAACATGATGACAGAGGGCGCGAATTTATTAGTGACTGTTCGGCTTCATCATTTTTTGGCTGAAGCGTTTAAGTGCTTTGTTTCAGTTTTTGAAGCGTAACAAATAGCTGGTTGTTGGGCGGATCACACCTTCAAATCGCGTTGTGATGTTACAGGAGAACTCATTCCCTTCTGTTTTGGGCCTACAGGTGTGATGGCTCGGACATCGAGGCTTTTGTCCCTCGTGCTGGCTGCTTTTGCAGTCGCATCCACGCACGGAACCTCAAGGACTTTTCCTGATGGTGAACCTGGAAGATTTTCCCTACCTGAAGAGATGCAGATTCCAGGCAAAGTTTGCTGGAACTTCCAGTTTTAACAATGTTTTCGGCTCTCTTTGTACATTTGGGTTTGTTCAAGAATAGGGCTCCCTAAATCCTAACTCTCATTTTCCCCATTAAAACCCATTAAAGCTTCCATTTTAGGCTTCATATTGCTACATCCCCCATTTCTGCACCCCAGTAATCACCAAGATATATCAAGGCAGCTCTGCTTCGCGGGTCCAGTGTTGTCACAGCGCCGTGGTGTGGCCCGATCTGCGGAGGTGTGGGTGTGTTATTTGGGTGTGGGCGAACGTGGGGTTTGGAGGGAACATGTAAAAACCTGATTTTCCAATATTTTTCCATGAAGATATGATGAAATTGATGACTGAAATATGGCCATGAGTGTGGGGGTAAATTTTCGGAACCATGGAACCTGACCCTTCAGCGTTTCGAAGGGTGGGAAGAAGCCCTTCTTCAAGCCTCGTGACTTGGCAGACGTCACTGCAGGGGATGTGATTTTGCTCGGCGCCGGTTCCGCTGAACCAAGGACCAGCTGGAACAAGCCCTCCACCACCCCCAAAGGCTGCGGCTTGTGATTCCTGAGCCAGAGACATGGACAGCAATAAAATGTCATAGAACCAATAAAGAAGTTCCATTGATATCCATTGATATGATATGGGTGCATGGTGCATGTGGCATGGCTAGTAGTTTCCATTTTCTCAAGGAAGGAGTACCCAAGAAGAGGTGCCATTGGCCTTGGTTGGGCCCCGATCTTGGAGGCATCTCAGATTAGCATGCTTGACATTATCTATGTCCGCAAGTACTTGGCTGGAAACCAGAAGGTGCGCAGATGCTCTCAGTGGGCAAACAAAATTTCTGGCATGGAAGGATAGAAGCAATTTTGGCTATGGATGGTCAATACCTATTGTAGGGATGAACATCCATAAATCCCAGCTATTTTGGTGACCAGGGCTATTGACTGAGCTGACCTATTCCCAAAAAAGACACCTTGCAGCAGAGAGGAGCTGCAGAAGGCCATCAATATGTTTTCTCACATGGATCCCTACATGAAGGGTCCGTGCCCTAGAATCCGGCCCTGGATATCTGAAAGACGTCTGTAAGGGCGGGACTTAATAAAGCCAAAGACCTGGTTCATTTCAACGAGCAAGATGAGCAAGATTCCAAGATGTGCAACGATGTGCAAATGATGTCCAGCGTCGCTTTAAGATATGGGGAGATGTGAAGAATTGCGATGATAAAAAAATGGGACGCTGGATTGGATTGACTGGATGACTGGATGTCGGTGAATCTTTTCGTTTCCGGTAAGGACGTATTCCTGCCTTCATTGAGAAGACGCCACAGCCTCAATGGCAGCAGGCTTTGCCGATGCCCAGAGTCTGCTGGATCTAAGGACCCTTCTGAACACGAAGATCAAGTTGTGACGGAAAGCGCTTCCACCAAAGTTGTTCAGCTCACAGGAACCATATGAATATATATATATATTATATATATGAATATCATGCGTCATGAATATCATTAATGAGATTATGACTATGACATGTTGTTGCTGTTGAACTATTATATAAGGAGATGTGCTCCACTTCCTAATGCTGAGATCTAGAGAATCACATGAATCTCCGTGCACTTTGACATGGACAGCATGTCTTGCATTGCCATAGGCTTCAAGAAATCAACAGCACTAGGAGCACCAGCAATTTTCAGTCCGTCACTCGTGAGCAAACTCCGGCGCATCCTCCAAGCGCCCAAAAGGAATTGGCTGGGAAAGTGGAGAGCTGTGGTTTGGGAGGGCCTGAAAATCTTGTACTTAACCACCATAAAATGAAGGTTCATTGAACTTTTGTGGTGTTATAGTTTACTATTCAGATCGCCCAGGTAACTTCTGGCTGCTTTTAAAGACTGGAACATTGGCAACCCTAAAACATGATCTTGCTGTGCAGACGTTGCCCTTCCGAATACTGCAGTGTTTCACTCAAAACCAGAGGTACACTTGGATTAAGCAAGACAGCCAGCACCACTTTATGGTGACAAAAGATCCCGTCCAGCTTCCCATACCCTCCAGTTCGGAAGCCAAAAAAACAGCCACTGTGGCACCAGCCCAACCGCTCACAGGTCAACCCAACCCACTGAGCGCACCACATCGACAGCGAGACACGCCGTGGCAACAGGGACTGCGAGTTTTGTGCGACCCGACCGGGCCGCTGTGGCCGCCGTGGCCGCCGGATGTTGCGCGACAGGGCTGCGCCATGTCGGACTCGTTGGTGGTCGCCGATGCTTCCCAGGCGACCATGGGGATCACTTAGGGCATTTGGAAATACTCCGGGTAATTGTAAAAACATGTAAAAACAATTCAGCAAATTTCTGATATATGGAATATATGGAATATTATGGAATTGTATGTTTAATTGTGCTGTCTTCTCTATTCTGGTCTAGTCATTCTATTAATAATTCAAATTCCATGCTATTTTATTCCAGAGTGCTATTCTCTTCTCATTCTATTCTATTGGATTCTTTTCTATTCTGGTTTGTTTATCAGCGTTTGCTGACTCTTAGGTGCGGTTTCACACGTGAAGCTGTCGCAGGCACTGGTGCTGGCCGATGCGGCACAGGCGAGACCCCGAGACCTGTCAACGGAAGGCACTATCCAGTTATGTAAATGGCTATGGATCAATACCTATGAAAATACCATTTTTAGGGGGATGAACATCCATAAATCCCAGCTATTTTGATGTGAACTACAGGGGTACTATTGGTTTTGACCCATCCCCAAATCACTTGACGGCACAATTAAACAATAGAATAACATCGAATGACTACAGCGGCTGAAGGGAAGGCAATGTCAACATTATTCGTTTCACTTTCAAGTTGATTTAATGTTTGTATCACTATGGAAACCTCTGAATGCGCAGGAGCAGTCGCTGGTCCTTGTCGACGACAGTAGCATGCCTGGCTGTGGATTTTGCTCCTGTGGCACTTCTACCAGATAGTCAATTAGGCAGTGACAAAACCTCCCAGTACCTCGACAGGGCTTGGCAGGAACTGTAGGTGCTTGAACTTGGATATGATTTCTGAAATTGCGGCTTAGCTTCTTCACAGTGGACTGTATTAGTTCCAACTAAGTTCACTATATAATTATTATGTAGGGTCATTATTTTTTGTTTGTTGTTTTGTTGAACCTGCCAGGTGATACAAAGCGAAAGGCCAAATGGGCCCGAGGAGGCCCTTCGAAAAAGGGTAGAAGGCTGGTTGAGCTGAGCATTTCTTGCTTTTTGACAAGCGAACGGTTGGCAAATTTGGGAGGTGGGGGCTGCTTGAGGATAAGCCGTGAGACCCTGAGAGTGAGCGGATAGAGATTCTGATTTCGATTCAGTTTATTCCGCGCCCAGGTTCAAGCCATTGCCTTATGTAGAGTTGCCGGTTGGTTTGACGGAGTCAGAGGCAGATCTTGGGCCCAGCTTCACATGAGAAATTTGGAATCTACTCCAAGGCAACCATCCAATCATCCAATCATCCAATCATCCAATACCCAAGGCTTCAGGGTGACCCCATCAGGTGGACCAGTTTTTGCGAGAGCAGCGCTTGGAAGATCTGAATCGGAAGATTCAGGCGGATGGGTGCTTGGGACTTCACTTGGTTTGTGCAGATTATATAAAGATTGTAAAGAAAAAATACAGAATGCTTAGGTCCTAAGGACTCTAAGGATTTGGGTGGTCGAAGTTGTTAAAGTTGTTAAAGTTGTTCTTGCTTTTGGGTCTTCTATGTCTTCTGGCTTGGTCATGGCATTATCCAGTGTGTGATGCAGTGCCAGAAGCTGTGGACAGAATTGCAGTTCTGCACAAAAGGAATCGCCTATGGTGCCAAAGGAATCACTAGTTAACTAGTTGCAACTAGTTCAATACAGTAAGGGTAAAGTATCGAATCTGAGATGCCATGAATTGGAAGAGCTTACGATTCCGCGCCAGTTGGGGCAGCTTGAGGATGCCAGATGCCCGAGCTGGTGGAAATTTGGCATGGGCTTGGGGGAGGAATGTTCTTGACTCTTGACCACTCCAAGGAAAGAACGCACCATCTGACCAAATTCCAAAGTTTGAGGAAGTCCGTCCTGCCATTTCCGGGATGTGTTGGTCTCTGGAGCAAGTCTTTCCATGCACTGCATCTGAGGTTGAACCTGACATCCGACCGCCCTCGCCCCCTCCGATCTACGATCGCAGCATGGCCGATTTGGTTTTGTTTGTTTTGCAGTTTCTTACACTTACAGTACATTTTGGCTTGCTTTTCTACACTTGGAAAATGTTGGGGCCAAAAGAATGGTTGCTGATTCTCAGCAAACACTGAGGTCAGGGTAATCGTCTCAACACTCGGGACATCCGCATCAAGAAGGCCCAAAGACAAACGCTCTTCCCTCTCCCTGCTTTCTGTTTCTGTTTCTGGATGAAAGCAGACATTTTTCACAACTTGTTATTCATATTGGCATCGCTTTTTTGTGCAAATTATGTGTGACACTGTGTGATCCCAGCATCATGGACTTGTCAAGGCCATGCTGGCGGAGTGGAACAGATTGATCAGGTCAGCGGGCCTTCAATTGAAGAGCCTGGGGGATGGTTAAACGGTTAAACGACAAACTGTACATGTCAATTACCCTCTGGTAATTTGTTACATAGCTATTGAAAATGACCATTTATAGTGGATTGTCCCATTGAAAATGGTGATTTTCCATAGCTATGTTAAATTACCAGAGGGTAAGTGTTCGAATTCCAGGTACATGCTGAAAAACATGGAAGACTACGTGCCTCCTGAAGGATGGAAGCCACAGCGTTTGGTGAAAAAGAGACTTGGGCATCGTCGCCACAGCACGATCATCCATTTGCTCCATTTGGCTTTGCCCAGAAATGGGGCATATGGTTTTTCCCCGGCATATGGTTCACTCCAAACTTGCAAATTCAACAGGCAAGTTGATGATAAACCATTGGATTTTCTGGGTACTATTTTTGGACACACTAATTTGCGCGAAGTGAATCAAGACGACCACCAGCATGTACTAAAACATTTTGACTCAGACGCACACAGCAAGCTCAGAATGAGCGCAGAACTTTTGAAATTTTGAAACACTACAAACTTCCTGATTTAAAGACGTTCTTTAAAGAGATTTACTGCATGTGGATGACATTTCACCATGCAAAACCTCCAAAGGAAATGGGTCATTTCAAACGCTGACATGTCTCCTGACATTGGAGCTCGAGAACAGCTGTGAAACCAAGGATCCTGATTCCCTATGAGTTCGGTTTCCAAGCCGTGCAGCAGTGGAGTGCCCCAACACGTGCAGAAACTGCTATGGATTTGCCATGACATTGTCAAATCCAACATTTCCTTGAGGGCTTCAAGTCTTTGTAAAATCGTTTAGTGCTTCTCATCAACATAGCGGCCAATAGACTGTTGAACCTGGTTCGCTTGCAAGAAAAAACATGTGCCTTCCACTGAGGAAGGTCCGTTTATCCGTCCAAGCCTTCTCTGTTTTCTCCAGTGAGCAGGTTGGCTTTCACGCCAGTTTTCCTCAACCGTCTCGGCACAGAAGTGGGTCCCGGGCCGGTCCCGGGCCGGTCCCGGGGTTGACCAAAGTGCTATGATGTCCCAAGCTCGTCGCGGCGTGGCTCGTCTAGGTGCCGCTGCAGCTCTCTCTGCGGCAATCTCCAGCCGTGGCAATCTGAGTGAAAACACCGTGCCGATGCGTGGGCTGTCTGGGTCCTGCCAAAATTCTGAAGTATCTTACTATGGATCATACCTTAATGACCGTTTTGGTGGTGGTATTGGACGCCGGGTTGGTGTGGATGAGAGTGGCAAGCGGCCACTGAAGGGCACGGGAGTGGTTCGCGTGGCCACCTTCAATGACACGCACGAGAACCTCAGAAAATGGGCCACCAGGGAGAACTGGCAACGAGCCACGGAGATCCATAAAGGTGCATATTTCACCAGATATACCAATGAAATTCAAGAGGCTGTGCTGGAGCACGTTCGCCAGCACTATGAAAAAATGCCCTACAAGGCGGATGAACCAGTTGTTATGGCTTTGTATCGCTTTGAAGATAGAAATGAGTTTGAAGATCGGCTCAACAAGATGAGAGTCACCAAGCTGCCAGCAGTTGTCCATGGGGTTTTCGATGAGAAGAATGAGAGGTGCATCGTTGACTTCGCCAACAAACGCTTGGGCGGTGGATGGTTGAGCTATGGCTGTGTGCAAGAGGAGATCATGTTTATCGAGCGCCCAGATTTCGGTGCCATGTGTGCCCGAAGTTTGTTGGAAATGCCGGATCCCCGTCAGGAGCCCATTGCCAGCCCCTTTTCCATGGAAGCCAATGAAGTTTGGATCTTGAAAGGGGCACCACGTTATGCTCACCTGGGATGGTATGGGCGGCCCCCCAAAGATGCCTTGAAAAAGGTGAAGTTGTTGAACCCCGAAGAGGACCGAAAGACATCTCCCACAGTGATTGCCATGGATGCCATCAAAGCCAGCTTCGAAACCTATCAGAAAGAACACCTTGAACTGATGCTGATCAAGGCTTACACAGGATTTGTTGCCGCCAAGGAAGATGATGTGGCAGGTGAAGTTGTAGCCACAGGAAGCTGGGGGTGTGGTGCCTTTTACAACGGGGAGCCAGTGATGTTTGCCATTCAAAGCCTTGCCGCGAATGCTGCGGGAGTGGCTTTGACCTATCACGTTTTGGGCGATGGCCGACGGTTGGCACCAGCTTTTGAGTTGTTGGAGGAGGCGTTGGTGAAGAAACTGAGCATCAAAGAAGCCTTGGAGCTCTTGGCGGAGCGTTGTGCGAACGATCCGGCCTTTCGGACAAAGTTTAAGCCGAGGTCGGCCATGTGAGAAATGTGGGCCATTTCTTGTGTGAGAAATGCGTATGGCTGCGTGAGATTCTGTGACCTGGATCGGATGGCCAATTCGTCCTGAAACACCTGGATGAGAAGGCGTTTGATGACGAGCGGAAGGAGAGAAGCTGGATGGAGCTGGTAAGATCAGGACAGAACCAGTCCCAAGGCATGAAACAGGTACGGCGGATCGAAGAGTTTTCAGGGCATTCGAGAGCTGAGTGTTTGACATGTTTTGACCATCAATGCTTCCACATATGGAAGCGTTCAGTGTGTTTGGACTTTTCAAAAACAGCGGCTGTTTCAAATTCGCTCTGGGTTTGCCAAGGAAATACCCCAACGCTTCGTTCATGGGTGGGAATCTCAATCCTCTCAAACAGTCCTGACAGGTCTTGACAGTCTGAGAGAAATGGCCCAAGAATGCCCAAGTAATCGCATTGCCAAACATGGCTCTCCAAGGTGTCATCATTGGGGCCAGAGGTGTCAATCACAGACGCTTGCAGGCCCTTGTTGACATTTCAACAAGTTGGATTAGTTGATAAATCCAGTTGAAAAAAGCTCGCCAAATGATAAATTTGGTTTGTGTTTTTGATTTGCAGGAGGCATCTGGCTGCAGAATATTCATCCGTGGCAAGGACAGCGCATCAGAAAACTTCATTTCCTTCGTTTGAAAGGTCTTTTTAAGTAGAGCTGTTTTGCAGTGATTCCATAGGTTGATTGTCGTTGCTGGTAGTGGTACATCTGCCAGACACATTTTCTTGCAGTGGTTGGGTGTGTTTTTCTTCTGAATTCCTTGGAGGATATTGGGGACAAGTTTCAGGGAGATGAGGAAAGGCATATGCCTCAACATGTTGGAGCCTTGGCTGTGGCAGATTAACCCCGTGGGGCTGTCCTTTTTTCACCGACATGTCGCAGGTTCACATCGAGGGAGAGACGGAGGAGCAGATTGAGGTGGCCACAGAACTCATCATGCCGTTGCCGCCTTGGAGCCTGGCCCAGCTTGGCAACTTGAAGGACCAGCTCCACTGTGATGGTTAAGCCACCAGCTCTGTGATGCTGAGATATGCTGAGGCTGTTGAATCCTGAGAGTCCAGAGTTTGAGTATGCGAGGAGCCCGATGTTTGCCCACCACAATGGGAGGTTGTTTCAGTTCGACACTTGTTTGCAGGACCCATGGTATGCAGCAGGTTGCGCTGGTGAATGGCTTCACGTTGAAAAAGTTCTTTTCTTAGCAGCATGTTGCCCTATGTTACCCTATATTGCCCTCCAAAGTCGCAGAGATACACGTTTTCTTCTCAAGGTCTGAACAGCGCTGTGGCGTTTGTGGTGCTATTGGCCACTTGGGTAAGAAGCTCAGTGAAGCTTGATACGCTGATCACGCGCTGACAAGGTGATTCTTGAGCATTGTATGGGACATGAGACAATACAGTACGTCACAATACATCACAATACTATCCTAATACCATTTGATCAGTTGGCCAATGTTGGCCACCTTGTGAAGGCCTTATTCTTGGCACAAAGTTTAGACATCGATGTGGGGGTTGCCGCTGTCACTCCCAAGGCTTTGATTGCCCAGAGACAGAGGCATTCAGCTACAAGCCGCCCAGCTGCAATTGGGGGGCTATACCCCTTTGGAAAAAGGCAATTTTATTCGAGGAATTGTTGAGTGTTTTTGATCTTCTGCATTTTTGTGGGACATGCCCAGCTCATCCTCATCCTAAATCAGCGAGCAGGTTAGATTGCACATCTGTAAATTTATAATATTGTACCCAAATCATCCATTTTAAAAGGATTTCCCACTATCAACCATCCAGCTATTGGGGTACCCCAATTCTAAGAAACTTTTTTTTTTGGCTCAGTGAATCCCAGGATGGCTGATGTGAAGTGCACCATTTGCGGCGACCGTGGTCACGTGGCTTCGGACTGCAAACAAGCGGCAGAGCAGCACAAGAAGGCGGGAGCAAGAACTTTTGGATGCCGTAGCTGTCAACTACATATTCTATATATATATATACACACTATAATTATGTAAATACGTATACCATGTAACTATATATACACATAGTTTCAGAATAGCCTTCTGATTCTCCATGACTTTGCCATTCTCGGACCCTCCCTGACCTGGCAACTCTGGCCACTTTCGCATCATCGCAACAAGGAGAATGTTGATTGGAAAGAGGAAGCAGCTAAGAAGCGTGAGTTGGATGAAGAATACGTCGCGACCCCAGACATCCAGGTGCCCAAAGAATGTTGGATTGCCGTTGAAACGTGTTGAAACCATTACAAGCCCCATTGGTTTCACATTGGTTACACTTGACTTCCTTTTGTTTGCTTTCCCTCTGGAACATTCATATCATCGCTGATGGCGCCTTCCTTTTTTTCAACGAGGAGAAGATGATGAGTGAGTTGGGTTTGTCCAAAGCAAAGCCAAAGGAGCGAGGGATTTTATACCTTTCCAATATCGTCAGTTTCAACATGATTCAGTCTCAACATGATTCAAACAATTTCTTCAGAAGATGACAAACCAAAACATCCAAACTGTGGATTTTGCAGTTCAGCAAAGTAGGTCGGACTTGGCTCGCAGGAGGATGCAGACAAGAACCCGGAAAGTAACGCGCAGGAAGATGGACAGATTGGGCAAGCCAAGGGCTCAGTCCATAGGTCAACTTGGAAAACATAGACGGACATGAATCATAGACTCGTCAGGCCATGAATCGTGACAAGTCCGAAACATTGAAGAAATGGTTTAGTTTCATGTGAATATTGGAATATATTGGACTTGGAATATATTGGAATAATTGATGATATATTATTTGAATATATTGGAATAATTGATGTTGATGTTTCAGCGATGGCTTGATTCTTCCGGAGTCAAAGGACCACGGGCCCAACGGCGTAGAACCTCCGTCTGCCCAGCCGGAGGCATGCTAGGTTTGGGAGAGTTGAGAAGCTGATGTGAGAGGCAAGTTGAAGGATTTGGAAGAACATCTAGGAATCTCGTATGGGTCAAAATTTAATGCTGGATAGGTTGGTAATCTTTAGTGTAGCATCAACTTATCAAGCCATGCCATTAAGGATATTTATGGGTCAAATTTCACATACCCTGATCCGTTTCGCAGGCCCAGGAAGGTCTCGCTTCTCCTGCGGACATGTCGCCGGAGGCAGGGGAGAGGAGGGAGCCTTTGGTGGGGAGCGTGAACCACAACTCAGCAGGCATCACCCCCACCCGCAGCTCAAGATGTCTGGGGGCCTCAGTTCTGAGCTATGCCGCTTGAGAAAACTTTCATCTTTGCGTACTCTTGGAAGGCACATGAAGGTATGCTCTGCCAATGCTCAGATCGTTACAAAGTCTGCCGCTGAGGATTCGCAGCCGATAGATGCGGCATCGAGCTTGCCTCCGGGCCTGGTATTGTACGGGGTCCTGGCTCCAGCCGATTCCAGTTGAGTATCAGTATGTGTCGCTCCAATGCGTTTGTGTCTCCATTTTCTGTTTCGTAGGTGTGCCAAGCAGGCAGGTTGAGTGCCGTTGTGGCGATGAGCAGCTTTCTTTGTTGAGGTACCTGTATCAAGTCAGTAACCTGATGACCGTCTATAAACTGGGTACATTTCATATCATTTCACATATCAGTGGGCATATCCTATAACATTATATATATATATAAACATGAGATAAAATTGGCACACCTATCCGCATTATGCATCATTATGCAAGATACATGCAAGATATCTACAAGATATACAACTGGGCAAACAAACCATAACCAGCTTCTTGACCAAACTTTGCGTTCCCTTGCCAGGCTCCTCCCCTGTCCCTGGTGCCCAAGATCGTCCCGGCCAAGATGCCACCAGTGCCGCCGACGCCGCCAGCGCCACCAGTGCCCAAGCCCAGACCCAGGGGGCTGCAGCCGCCTCGAGGCACAGATTGGGAGCAGTTCAAAATGGGAAGGGCTTGGAACTAGAAACCAGAGAATTTTGACACTTTGAGAATTTTGAGATTGGAATTTTCTGAGATTTTTGGACAGAACTCCAAAGCGCACGTGCCAGATGCGGATACCTCGATCACCTGTCCTCGGATGCTTTCGCAGCGGCTCTTCAGAGGAGGTTTGCACGTGCTGCGGGAGATGGGTCAGGTCGGGTACCTCAGCTCCCTTGGCGTTTTTGGGGCACGGCAAAGTATCAGTTTTGGACCAACAAAGCGTGGCTTTGGAGACTTCACCGGGTTGCCTTTGGGTGCATGAACTCTAAGGTAGATTCGGCATGATTTGGCATGATTTGTTTGAAGTGCGATGTGAATGCTTTGCAAATTTACCATCAGAATGGGTTGTAGGGCGTCAACTTCCCAGGAGACAGGTGCGAGGGTCACGATCCATGAGCGTCCGGACAGTGAAGGGGGGTGCCTGGCTCAGAAACTGGACCCATCTCAATGGTGCGAGGCTTTGATGGCTTTGGCACCGGTTGCGCACTCTCAGGCCCTTCTTTGCCATCTTGGGATCACCACAGGCGGGGCAGCTGGGTAGCTGATGTTGGCAGCGGCTGGACAATTCCTTGCAGGCGCGTGAAATGGCCAAGCTCCACGTTCGAGTGGCTGGATGCATTTGGAGCAGAACAATATCAGTGTCAAAAAGATGTTCCCCAAAATCTCCCTTTGATGGAGAACTTGTGAGTGTGTCGAAGATTCACGTCACACTTCCAGGGATGGCTCCAGAGATTGTTTGTGGAGTTTGATGATGCAGATAAAGCCAACGCGGCTAAACGGCTAAACGGCTAAACGGCTAAACAAGATAATTTCGCTTGAACAATCTGGTGCTGGGCTCTCTTTATGAACCAAGGCCTGGCTCGATGTGAATTCAAGGCCTCTTTCTGAAGGTCAGCAATGCATTCGGAAAGCCTCAGCAAACAGCATCTAAAGATATCTAAAGAACCTTGCTGTTTGCAGGAATGTCCACTTCACCAATGCAGGGCTCCCAGAGTGCAGCTTTGGCCCGCTGAGTCCACTTGATGTACTTTGAGTTGCTTTGATGTGATCGTTCGATTTAAATCTGAGGCCTTTCCAGTCTACAGATGGTGCAGGTTCGTTTCCTCAACGTCTAATTTGGTGAGTTCAACTTGACCTTTCCAAAGTTTGGCTGCAGCTCGCTACTGTGACGTGGATTTCCAAGGATTTCCTCCGGGATTTCCACCCTTCCCAGGCCTGGCAAACGAACTCACAAGAAAATTGAGATTTTCTGCGTCCATGGATCCTGCTGGCAGGGGATGTGCCGCCGGGATTTCCACCAAGTGGCTTCCCACCAAGTGGATTTCCACCTGCCGGGTTTCCGCCTGGCATGCCCAGCATACCCAGCGTTCCGCACATGCCACCTGGTGCGCCCGGGGATCGGCGTAGCGGGGTCATGCCGTTGAGAAGTTGAGACAGTCCTTAGGGTCACTTCTTGCGTTCACCTGCACATCCTGCACTGACACATACGATGAATCAGAAGTGTGCATATGTAATTATATATATATAATCAATACATAATACATATAATTATATATATATAATTATATATACAGATATATACGCACACATAATATGTTCTTTTTCGATTCTCACATGCATGCTGTTCTCACAGTCGACTCTTCCTTCCAGGCTTTCCTCCTGGCTTTCCGTCCTCATCTCAGCTGGTAACGAGGGTGGCACTGTAAAGCCTCCGACGCCGATTCCGAGGCCGCTGGGGAACGGACCAATGGACCTCGGCCTAGTGGTACCAACCTTTGAGGCCACCGGAAGAAAAAATGTCTGGTGGTCACTGTCAGATGCATCTAGGGTTCAAATGCATGACGATATGTTGAGATTGTGGGGGTAAGTAGAAACATGAACTTCATCAATCCTTCCAGACTATACTTCAACTTCCAGTGGCGTGCGAGTTTGCAAGCTGTTGGCTCAGGTTGGTGGAGCCTCACCTCCGGGCATGTCTGCAGAGGCGGGACCTGCAAGTCGCCTCATCAGCAAATTCTCAGTTTGTGTTGGGAAAATGATGATAAACAATGATAAAGAACCAAATTTGGGGTAACCTTCAGACATTTTGAGACAAACCCATACAATAATTTGCGAGTAGAATCTTCTGTGGAAATATGCTGATGATGGAAGTTAGTAGTTGAGGCCTACGATGAGCTTTGAGGGTGTCAGGTTTCACACTGCGGATCGCAGAGTGGCGGCCGAAAAAGCTTCGTCTGAAAGCAGCAGACCCAGTGATGTATCATGATATCTGAGAGTGGCTCAGAGAGGCTCAGAGTGGCTCGGTTCAAAAAGGTTGCAACTGGGTTTCAGAGTTCACTTTATCAGCCTGCCGCAGCTGAGAAGCCTCTGAAGGCGCATATAGATTACACTTCTGCAACAGACCAACTCCTACGATGTTTGTTGGGCCTTGCAATGGTCGTGCTTTCAAGACAAACATGAGAGCAGACGAGCAAAACAAACTGAAAGCATGGCCAGCGTTTGGTTTCCGCAGAGCCACTTTCTGGAATTCCCATTGCTGTTGCGTGTCACAATGTGAAGTTGTGCTCACCACAACTGAATGGTGAGGCACGTCATTCAGTTCTTTTGCATACACTGCCGACAACTGTGCCAGTCGACCTTTTTTCCCCCATTAAGCATTTTTTTTTTGTCCAAGTTGCTATTGGTCCATATTAACCAGCATGGTAGATCTCCAAGAACAGAATTGAGCCATCCAGTAGCGTCAACTTAAAGCACAAATCCTGGGCTATGGGTGACGCCGGGCTTGGTCCCACCACGAATGCAGCGGATCAGGAGAAGGAGTGCCATGCCTTCCGCAGGATGTTGAAGCCCCACATTTGATGGTTTAACAAAAAAAACTGGCAATCTACAAGTTCTTAGGGTTTTCAATCTTGGCTCATCCTCATTTTTCTAGGTCTTATGTTATGCTTTTTCTGGAAGCATTGGAACTCGCAATCTTCGTTAAGCCGTTAAGCATCAAGGGAATCAACGGCACGGATTTCTGCGCTGACGCGTTGCCAGGCCAGTGGGCTCAAAGAGTCTGGTACCAAAGTGACCGCGGAGGGAGATTCCAAGGCCACACATGTCCACGATACCCACGGGGGAAATCCTCAAAGTGGTGAGCAATGGTGAGTTGTTTTCTTGGTGAACATGATGATAAGATATAATAGGATATAATAATCATAATAATATAATAATAATGATAAATAATAAGATATAATAACACAATCTCAACCATGAGATTTTTGGATACCCATGGGTAGCCTATAGATCCAGTGTGGCCCATTTTGATGGCTTCATGTTTTGCTGCCAGACCCTGGACTCCTTCCCAGCATGCCTCGTGAGCACTGGCGTTTTCAAATATGTGCAGGCTGGTCGGCTGGCCGTCCATGCACTTTTCAGACGTTTGAAATGGAAATGGTTGGAGTCTATTGTGAGGTACATGCAATAGCTCCAGATGGAACCCGGAAGGCTCGCATTACTGTGAGGAGTAGCTACCTTTTGATTGGTGCTCTTGCAACAGAGACTTGAAGGCAGCTGCAAAGCAGCTTTCAGTGTGTGCTGTAGGTGATCGTTCGAGCAGCGCCTGGCTCCTTCCATGCAGACGTCGCAGAACCACTTTGCGAGGCATCTCGGTGGTTGGAAAGTGGTTGGAAAGTGGTTGGAAGTAGGGACGACCTGGGTACTGCATGTTTTGAAGCCAGGCGCCCTGAAACAGATTTATTTAATGAATCAATATGACTCATTTTTCTCACATGTATCACCAGCCTCCTGTGAACTACAGCTGTGAGCCTCAGAACCTTCAAATGGGACATGGCGATGGCGAAACAAGTCCTCCATGCGCCCGCGCTGCAGCCGTCGCTGCAGCATTCACTTGGCGTGTCACCGGTGTCACTTGGCGTACAGAGAAAGGCCAGGTGCAGCCAGTGCACTGGGTGCAGCTACAATTTTCCTGAGTCCTCACTGCAGCCGCACTTGCAGTCCTGGGCTCTTGGTAGCTGCATCATGACCCAATGGACACGGCGCGGGCGAGCAAAGATCTCTCTAAGAGCCAGGCGATCAGACTCCAAGGAAGACAACTTGGAAAAATGGTTGCCTTTTGTGGCTGCGGGAGTCTTTGGTTTGCTGGCACTAACTCCAACCTTAATCGTTGGCAGCATGGCTGCGTGGTGGGCCTTTGCCCTTGCAGCCACTGTTGGCAGCCTGCTGTATTTCAGTGTGGCGGTGCCCATGATGATAACCGCCGCACTGGTCGGTGGGATTCTCATCCCCATGATCGCCGCAAACTTTCTGGTGGCCAGCTCACTGGTCGCCACGATTGTTGCATCCCTAGCGACGGCCGGGGCAGCTGGCTTACTGGTTTGGGTTTCCTTGGGAAACCCCCTGCCCTTTCCTGACTTATCCAGTAAGAAAGTGAAGGCCGCCGAGGCTGTGAAGGCCTTGGAAGAGGAAGATCCCTTCACAGATTGGGATCGGCGCTTCGCAGCCAAGTCTCCCAAGTCTCCCAAGTCACAAGCGGCTGGACGACCTGCTGACTTTGAAGAACTCAAACGCCAGGGAGCGCCCACATATCTGAATGTCTCACCTGCGGATGGGCAGGGGTAAAGACATGAGCGTTCGACCAAAAAAATGTCAAGAGGTAAACTTGGGATTTCAAGGAGGGACCCAAAGAGAGCCGCAGGAGACCAACACGTATCATAATTGGACTTTGCTGTTGAGCCAGCTTAACTCTCACATGGTAGGTGTATGTAGATGTTGAGTAAAAATGCCGCTCCTCAGGTACAACGAAAACAGATGTTTTTTTCTATGGGTGAAGATGATGGGGGGAATCTAACCTCCAGATGTTGGGATTAAGCTGATGGACAACTGGAGCTTCTGGTAGAATCAGCTTGCTTCAAAAACAGAGGTGAGGTGACACAATATATACAACAACATTTGACATATGACATATGTATACAAACATATATATTTCTCCTCTGACGCGCTCCCCCTGCTGCAAGCGGGGTCGCCGGATATAGATTTTGTTGCAGTCTAGAGATTGAAACCTTTATCCAGTGGTAAGCATTTCATGACTTGCATTGGGTTTGGTGGCATGCCAAACCTTTCAACTGTGATGCCCTTTGAGTTTTTAAGCTTGATCTGAAGGAACTGCGGGAAAAAGGATTGCGCTATGAGATCCCTGGTGGTGGACGAATTCGGCGGGACACCCAGTGCAAATGTGACCAAAGGTGACATCGCTGACATCAGTGGATTTCCAAGGCTGGCTGCGTAAACTGAGGAGGGATGACGACAACAAAGAGATCGAGATCTATGGCCACAGCAAGGCACTCTTTCCAACTTTATGGCGCTTTCCCAGAATCCTCAAAGGAAAGCACTGTATATTGCAACTACTTTTGCTTAGTTTGCTTGGAATCTTTTTTGGTCCCTCTGACATGCAGGGCTTTGGAATGCCAGACCATTCTGTCTCAGCTGCAATTTGCCGCGGCCACTTTCCTGGCTACAAGGCAGTTGCAAACATGTTTGATACATTTTGGTGCTTGAAGCTTGGATTACTTGCTACATCTTGCCACTTTTCCTTTGGTGATGAAGTGAACATTGACGATCCTTCGAGGTAACCCACCGCAATACTGGCTATTGAGAAAAGACTCAGAATGCAAGAGAAATACTCAAAATATTATGATATTGATCTTTGACAAGACAACGTATATAATTCTGCACGTAAGTCTCAAGAAAAAAACATTTTTTCCACTCCCCGATTCGGGATATCTGTAAACTACGCTTTGACCCAGCTTCAGAATACTTTCGTAGAAAAGTGATCTAAAATACCTAATACAAAATGCAATTACACAAGTCTGGTGGAACACACGAAAAAGGAACCAAGAAACTATTCTACTGACTGGAGATCTATTCTAAAATACTCTTCAGCAAGATCTTGTTACACTCTTGACCTTATTTTTCGTACGTGTTTAAGAGCATATGTCTTACTAAGAATTCGATGAATTCAGCCAGTATTAGACTATATGTATATATATATGTGTATACTTGCAGGCCGGGGGTGACGCTCAGAGGTTTATTGATTGTAGGACCAACTCTTTAGGGTTTGTTTAGGGTTTGTTTAGGTTTTTTTGTTAAGGGTTTCATTTGTTTTTTGTTATTTTTACACCGGTTTTAATATGAATTCATTTTTGATTGAATTACTTTGGGTTTCATGTTAAATTTAGGTTTGCGGGTTTTGGATTTACCAGTAGTACCGCACACGGCGGTGGCGGAAGTTTCAAAGATGGGAAACCTATAAGTTGTTGTGAATCATGGATGGCAGAGCGAACTCACTGATGGATCGAATTCTACCTTCTATCTATCTATCTGTCTATCTATCTATCTGTTTGTCTGTCTGTCTGTCTTTCTACCTATCTATGTAACTATCAAACAGACCTGTCTTTCTACCTGTCTGTCTATATCTATCTTTCAATCAATCAATCAATCTATCTTTCTATCTTTCTATCTTTCTATCTGCCTATCTATCTATCTATCTATCTGTTTTTCTATCTACCTATCTATCTATCTGTCTATCTATCTAGCTGTTTGTCTGTCTGTCTTTCTGTCTGTCTGTCTTTCTGTCTGTTTGTCGTTTGACTATCTGTGTTTATCTGCGTCTATCTGTGTCTATCTATCCCTATCTGTATCTATCTTTATCTTTCTGTACCTATTTATTTATATCTATCTGTATCTATGTGTATTTATCTGTATCTTTCTGTATCTATTTTTATCTATGCATATTTATATATATATATATATATCTATATCTATTTATATTTATATATATTTATTTAATCCTTTGAATTTGGGTAAAATTTCAATATTAAATAAATAAAATAGGAATATGGTCGAATAAAATATATTTAGATTATAATTATAAATTAATTATATATAATAATTTCAAAAAAATATTTTCCACATATAAAAGGGCTCCGCCCCTGCCGCCGACCCCGGAAGGGTATTTGATATCTTGTGGTGTGGTGATCTCAGTGCTTTGGTAGTGCTGTGGCTGATGTAAGTCGCTTCATTCAAACAGCACAGCATGACAGCAGTCCATGGCCTGCTGCCAGTGTCTCCCGGCAACGAAGGCGCCAGTGGCCAGCTCCATGCTGATGACTCTGCTAACTCTGGCAATCTGAAGATATGAAATATAGATGCATGGCGCTGTTTCTGTCACTGAGTATATGAAGAGATCGGACATAGATGTATGTAAATGTGTATCGAATGGGCTAGCGGCATATTGGGTTTGCTGCATGATTAAGGACATGCATTGCGATATTGGACCAGCTCATGGTTGATGTGTCCTGTGTTCCTTGGACTTGGACTTGAAGCGGAAGACGGGGTCGGTGTACCCGATGGCAAGCCAATCCTGTGCCACACTGAAACACCATGGCACTGAAGAACTCCCTAACGTGACGTCTGACACCCATAGAAACCAGCCCTCCGCCACACCAAACCACCATGGCAGGGAAGGACGGACAAGCCACGAAATCGCACCAAAAAACTCTCTAACGTCCCTTCTGAAACCCTGTAAAAACTAGCCAAAGATTGGCCAAATATGTGCCAGACATATGCCAGACATATACTTCAACTGACACCTTCCAAGCCTTGATTGGCAACAGCTGCAACAAGGTTCCTAAAGCTTCAAGGGACAGAACTCGAAACGCTGAAAGACCACCGAATTACCTGTCTTCTGAAACCTTAGAAAAACAACATTTTTCGCTAACATTTGTTGCCTACTGTTACTGCTGCTGCTGCTCCTTTCTGAACCTCACAAGCGGATACACGCAGCGTCTTCGCCACGCTAACACAGCCGGACCCTAAAGGACGAACCGCACCTAACACCTCTTTTCCGGTTGCACACCATGGCAGTGAAGCACGGACAAGCCACGAAATCGCACCAAAGAACTCCCTAACGTCACGTCTGCAATCCTACAAAAACTAACTTTTTCCAACTCTTACCTTGTATTGAATCTGGTGCTGAAAACAGCCTTCTGCCACACCAAAACACCATGACAGTGAAGAGAACGGACAAGCCACGAAATCGCACCAAAAAACTCTCTAACGCCCCTCTGAAACCCTATAAAAAAATAGCGCTTTCCCAACCTTTACCCGTCGTATTGAATCCGGTGCTGAAAACAGCCTTCCGCCACACCAAAACACCATGGCAGTGAAGGACGGACACGCCACGAAATCGCACCAAAAAAGTCTCTAACGTCCCTTTTGAAACCCTATTAAAAATAGCCTTTTGCCAATTTTGCCAACCTTTTCCCGTTGTACTGCCTCCGGTGCTGAAAACAGCCCTCCGCCACACCAAAACACCATGCCACGAAATCGCACCAAAAAACTCTCTAACGTCCCTCTGAAACCCTATTAAAAATAGCCTTTTGCCAATTTTGCCAACCTTTTCCCGTTGTACTGCCTCCGGTGCTGAAAACAGCCCTCCGCCACACCAAAACACCATGGCAGTGAAGGACGGACACGCCACGAAATAGCACCAAAAAAATCTCTAACGTCCCTTCTGACACCCTATTAAAAATAGATTTTGCCAACCTTTTCCCGTTGTACTGCCTCTGGTGCTGAAGCCCTCCGCCACACCAAAACACCATGGCAGTGAAGGACGGACACGCCACGAAATCGCACGGAAAAAGTCTCTAACGTCCCTTCTGAAACCCTATTAAGAATAGCCTTTTGCCAATTTTGCCAGCCTTTTCCCGTTGTACTGCCTCCGGTGCTGAAAACAGCCCTCTGCCACACCAAAACACCATGGCAGTGAAGGACGGACACGCCACGAAATCGCACCAAAAAAGTCTCTAACGTCGCTTCTGAAACTCTATTAAAGATAGCCTTTTGCCAATTTTGCTAGCCTTTTCCCGTTGTACTGCCTCCGGTGCTAAAAACAGCCCTCCGCCAAATCGCACCAAAAAAGTCTCTAACGTCCCTTCTGAAACCCTATTAAAAATAGCCTTTTGCCAATTTTGCCAACCTTTTCCCGTTGTACTGACTCCGGTGCTGAAAACAGCCCTCCGCCACACCAAAACACCATTGCAGTGATAGACGGACAAGCCACGAAATCAAAAAGTAACCTTTTCCAAACCTTTTGCCGTTGTACTGAATCCGGTGCTGAAAACAGCCTTCCGCCACACCAAAACACCATGGCAGTGAAAGACGGAGAAACACTATGGCAGTGAAGTGCGGACAAGCCACGAAATCGCACCAAAAAACTCTCTAACGTCCCTTCTGAAGCAGTACAAAAAAAACACTTGCCCAACCTTTACCCATTAATGAATCCGGTGCTGAAAACAGCCCTCCGCCACACCAAAACACCATGGCAGGGAAGGACGGACAAACCACGAAATCGCACCAAAAAACTCTCTAACGTCCCTTCTGAAACCCAGTAAAAAGTAGCCTTTCCCCAACTTTTTCCCGTTGTACTGCCTCCGGTGCTGAAGCCCTCCGCCACACCAAAACACCATGGCAGTGAAAGACGGACACGCCACGAAATCGCACCAAAAAAGTCTCTAACGTCCCTTCTGAAACCCTATTAAAAATAGCCTTTTGCCAATTTTGCCAACCTTTTCCCGTTGTACTGCCTCCGGTGCTGAAAACAGCCCTCCGCCACACCAAAACACCATGGCAGTGAAAGACGGACACGCCACGAAATCGCACCAAAAAAGTCTCTAACGTCCCTTCTGAAACCCTATTAAAAATAGCCTTTTGCCAATTTTGCCAACCTTTTCCCGTTGTACTGACTCCGCCACACCAAAACACCATTGCAGTGATAGACGGACAAGCCACGAAATCAAAAAGTAACCTTTTCCCAACCTTTTCCCATTGTACTGAATCTGGTGCTGAAAACAGCCTTCCGCCACACCAAAACACCATGGCAGTGAAAGACGGAGAAGCACTATGGCAGTGAAGTGCGGACAAGCCACGAAATCGCACCAAAAAACTCTCTAACGTCCCTTCTGAAGCAGTACAAAAAAAAAACCTTGCCCAACCTTTACCCGTTGTACTGCCTCCGGTGCTGAAAACAGCCCTCCGCCACACCAAAACACCATGGCAGGGAAGGACGGACAAACCGCGAAATCGCACCAAAAAACTCTCTAACGTCCCTTCTGAAACCCAATAAAGAGTAGCCTTGTCCCAACTTTTTCCCGTTGTACTGAATCCGATGCTGAAAACAGCCCTCCGCCACACCAAAGCACCATGGCAATGAAACACGGACGAGGCACGAAATCGCACCCAAAAACTGCCTAACGTGACGTCTGACACCCGTATAGTACTAGAAATATAGAATAGAAATATAGAAATGAAAACCATCCCTTAGAAATATAGAAATAGAAACCAGCCCTCCGCCACACTGAAACACTATGGCAGTGCAGGACCGACAAACCCAGATTCGCCGCCAACAAAACTCCCTGATTTGGCTTCTGAAACCCCAATTATTAGAGGGCGAACCTGCTACAACTGTTTCTTCCCTGGCGCGCTCCCCCTTGCTCAGGCCGGGGTCGGCGGATATAGACAATGCTGATTTTAGCTACTTTTCCTTTCTGTTCAAAAGGACGGAACGGCGACAAAATGTAGCCCAAAAACTGCCTAACGTGTCGTCCGTGTCGTCTGAAACAGTAGAAA